CCCTCTAGAAGGGCTCTGTAGAGATCCCTCTAGTGGAGACCATTTCTGCAGCAGAGGCGTGGAGGAAGGTAACAAGAGTTCGTGCAATGTGGATGCAGTGATGTAGAGTGGCGAGATTGCCACGGGCCCTGGCGCAAGGAATGACATTGGGCCCCCTGTCCTGGACTCGTGCGGAACATGGACCTCGGTGCAGTTGCACTGCCTGCACACCCGATATCGGCGACACCACAGTTGGTTTCTGTGAATAGCGTTACAGATTTAGATGTTTTTGTTACAAAATATGGACAACGATGACGCACGAAAGTCAGGCGCTTTGAAGTCACGTGCTCTGGCAAACGAGGTGTTTGGGGACAATGGTGTCAAGTCGTACAAGCTATTTTTAAGATGCTTAAAGAGTCAGCGTAGAGCTGAAAGGACCCATCTGAAACATTCACTTTGCATGCAGATTATATACAGGCGGCGACCCTGATTGTGACTGCGTCTCGAGACGCGTTACTCACATCGTGGTGGCACGCACATCTCGGAAGAACGCGTGGGGTTTTTAGCGCGTTCGTAATTAGGGCGGGGAGTTTGGGGGCAGCGCGCTGAGCAGCCCAGAGACAACTTTGTGATAGGATAGCAGTTGAAGGCTCTTCAAAGAGGCGGTCGTGGGCAGATCAGGAGAAGGGCTTGAGATTTGACTTGAACAACGGAAGGGTCTTCGCAGTGCAGACGGCCGCGGGAGGCGAGTTCCTCCCGCTGAGTGAAAGTTGACGGGAGGATTTTGACAGCGGGGTTTTTTGGTTGCTGAAGCGGAGAAGCACGTGACGGTAGTGTAGAGCACTCCCGATAGAAATGGAGTTACTGCGTGCATACTCAGCGCTGGTTTGTTTTCTTTCGCCTATGTAAATCGATCCCAATATAATGGCAATTTTAGTCAATTGCTTTTCAGTGGGATTGCCCAAACGTCCCGATGCAGGAGCCCTCCATAAAAAAATAATTTTCAAATGCAGTGAGGTGTTGCTGGGTTAAGATAATGGTCAAGATGTCATTCATCATCGTGGTCAAAGCCGTTGATGCCACCACCACCACTGCGCGTCCTCGCTGCCAACGCCTCTATTCCTCCGCCGGCATCCGCCACTACTACTGCTGCCGCTGCTGCCGCCGCTGCTGCCACCACTGCTGCCACTGCTGCAGCCACTGCTGCTGCCACTACTGCCACTACTGCTGCCGCTGCTGCTGCCACTGTTGCCGACGCCGCCGCTGCTCAGCAGACAACGCGGCGACCTCCAAGCTCTGCTCTGACTGTAACCCGGAATTATATATATTTTTAATCGGCAATTATATTATTATCGCATTGGTATACATTTTGCAAGACCGTGAAAAGCAAAACAAAATACCAACACACTTCATAAAACTTGAAAATTGCGTTTTTATCCTCGAACCGAGATAGCTGGTTTTTACTCCGAGCGCCTCGTAAATGTTGCGCGTAAGCCTCTAATGAGACAGTGCGCTGAAATACTTCTGGATGCGGTGCTTTGACACGAGTATTATTAAACCACGGAGTTCCGTGCAAACAAGGAGGGGTAATGAGAAGACGCCGGTAGAGCGCTGCTCGGAGTGAGCGGGGTGAGCGTTCAGCAGCGACGTCGGAAGCAGCACCCGCCGGCGCTGTGATGATTCCATTTCGACCGCTCGGCTCCCGGTCTTCCCAAAATCATGAAACCAGCACGTGGCGCTCGGCGACGCCCTGGCCGATGTTTTTTGCCGAACACATTCTGGAAATGTCGCATTTCGCGCAGACAACAACAACAACAACTCCTGAAACGTTGGACGATGCCACATTTTGTTGGTGGGTGCCTTGGTAAGCAAAAAAAAACAAAACAACTTCAAGTGTATAAGAAATACATTGGCAGCGTTTCAATCACGTAGCTCAAGCTACTTGTCAAACTGTGTTTCCGTGACATGTCTATGTTTCTGTTTAAAGGACAGCATAAATAGACGGTGGGGTTTTTTTTATATTAAACATTTTTATGCTTGCACACCTCGTTGCCAACAGCGCAGTGCCTTCAATATTTCTTTTGGTGCAGTTGGCTCCGCTAAACTTTTTAAAAATATTATTCTTTGATGCAACAAACAAACTAAAAAGTCGCCAATGCTGCGGGATTGTAAGAATCCCATGAAAGGGGGCAGCGAAGCACTCGCGACTGACACTCCTCCTCCTCCACTGCCCCACGTCTGTCGCAGCGCGAACACATTTCCGTTACGGCCAAATGCCAAAAACCTCGATCCACCTTCCACGTCACGACACCTCGGACCAAATGGTGGCCCCGCGACACCAAGAGTGAAAAGGGATTAAAACGCGAGGAGGCTTCTATCGTTTAGCGACGAGGGCGCCGTGAGCAGCTTAGCACATGAGCCAATTGGAGCCTAAGCCTGCCTCTAGCCCTGACCCTAGCATCGCGCCTGCCTCTGCTGCTTCTCCCCTCCTCCTCGGAGTTGATGGGGCGGAGCGCACGGGGCCTCCACGGCATCGAGAGGCACGACGAGACGAGATGACCTACTCGAGAGGAGACGGGTGATGAGATCGAATCATGTGCAGGAGTGAGATGGAAGGTAATATGGGACAATTATGGATAGCGACAGCGTGGAATGGCCTTCATCCAGCAGTGGATTGACAATGGACTGCTGCTGATGATATCACTGGAATACTTCTATCATACTCTCCCAAACAGTTTTTTTTTGTCACAGTCCCACAAAAAGCCTTCAATCTACTGTTGGATGAAGACCTATCCATTGGGGTTTGATCATACTTTACCATGCTGGTCAATGTATGTTGGAGGAGGGAGGCCCAGGACCGGTTCACATACCACTTGCCACTGATGTTAGCCGTGACCGGGTCGCCAATGAAAAGAGCCTCTTCACTCAACTGGGCCTTGCATGAGATAGTCTGCTTGACTTGGAATTTAACTAGGATACCTAGCGGCACTATAATGCCTTCGTTTGAGCCGCTATCAAAGTACTGGACTGCCTGATCGAGCCAAGCCACTACATTCACAGATGTCGAGGCGTGAGGCTTCGTGTCACCGGTGCAGCTATCGAACGTGCAGGCAGTGCAACTGCAGCGAGAGGCTCGGATTGCTGGAAGACGAAGAGGTGGGGGGAAGTCGGACAGGGACTGGGTGGGGGGAAGGTGCAGGGGGGGGGCTCCGGTTCATTCCTTGCACCAGGGCCCACGCTCACCTCGCTACGCCACTGGGCGCACGCGGCTGTGGACAAGTGGCGTGGTGAGGACTCTGGGAAGGGATGGGGGGGGCGGGCGGTCTCTGGAGAGATGACGGCGCTCGCTCTCCTTCACGAGTCGCGCGCTGCTCCCTCGCGATTGACGGCGTCCGCGAAGGGGCGGCGTGCGTCACAGGACCGACGCGGATTCATTCGTCACGACCCGCTCTCGTCAAGCACGCGAGTTATTAACGCCGCACAGCCGGAAGAGCTCAGTCCTCCCCGCTTAGCGAGGATCCGCTGCTGCTGGCGGTGGTGGCGGTGGTTGCGGCCGCCCGGGCATCCGTCTGCGTCCCCGCACGACGGCGACCATGGAGGGTCTGTAACTTCGCGCCATCGATTATCCTCCGGCGATCGCAGATCCCACCGACTGCTTTAAGCGCGATGCGTGACGCCCCCAGCACCCCCCCCTCCTCCCCACGAGCCCCCCAGTCTCTACACCCCCCCAGCCCACTCCCGCCTGACCAAGCCAGGCGACCGGCAAGGCTGTGATCACGTAGGACCGCAGCTGAAGCGTGACTGAGCGGTTACACGGATTCTCCAATCTTGTTCGATTAGATGCGCTCAACGAACAGAGGTCGAGCGCGCGCGCGCGCTGGTTGGTCGTGCTGCTGTGACTTGTGGCTGTCAGCTCCGTCGTACAAAAACAAGCGAGACGTTGCAGGGGAGAGAATGACAATCTCACAATAGCCGAATAGGGGGTGGTGGGGGGGGGAACTGCGTGTGACCACGTTGCTCCCGAGTGGCGCGTTGTTGCTGTTGTTGTTACTGCCGCCGCTGTTATTATTATCGTCGTTATTACGCAATTGACGAGAACCCGTGTTAAGTAATGTCCCGGGAAAACAAACAAACAAAAAGACCATTCTGGGAAAACCAGGACAGGTGACAACCCTTGCTGTGACACCAACGTGTCCATGTTGCCCCACCACCCCCCTCGCCAGCAATGTGCCACGCTCGTGCCCGGTGTCACCGCGTCCCCAGCGCGGCGTTGGCAGCGGGCAAACCGCGGCAAGGTCGGCCTGGCCGGTGACCCCCGGGCTGCCGATTGAAGCCCCGCGGCACTGAGCCGCGGGGCTCAGCGGCTCTGTGGGAGGAGGGGAGGGGAGGGGGGCGCTGTCACAGAGTTTACGAGCATTATCCGGAACGATTATTGTATTTCTAAAAATCGCAATAGCGCAAAGTCAAGGTCAAACTCCGTTTAATTCTGACATGACGAGACGCCGCGGGCTTGCGAGGGGTCAGCAAAGGATTTTACGGAACAGGGTCGTTCGTTTTGTCACGCTGCCATTTAAATAACACTGCGGTCGCTTCTACAAAAGCCTCAACATGTGTCCCCTGATCTGATGGAGTGCTCCGTAGCTCCCAAGCCTGGCAGATATAAGTTCATCCTCACAGCCTTTTGGAGAAAACTATGAAATGTACACCAATTGCTTGGGTGGTGGCAGTGGTGCACAAGCACAATTGACGCAACAAAAACTCAACACATCAACACCGTGGCCTTAAAATAAATATATTACAGATGTCGTTTCGAGCAATGACCCTTGTACATAGCACATAAAACCCTTATTGCGTTTTCGGTACAACGCGACAACACGGCAGAGATCTGCTTTTGGGAGCGACTGCAGCTGGAGCGGAGGGAAGAGTGAATGACTGATGCCATGTGTGCGTGTGTGTGTGTGCATGTGTGTACGTGTGTGTGTGTGTGCGTGCGTGTGTGTGCGTGCGTGCTTTGCGTGCAGGGAAATGACGAACTTAAGGGCTGCGGGGACGTCGCCCGTGTGACAGCAGGGATCGGCAGCTCCGCACGAGTCCTGGATCTATGACAAGGTCCGCCGCACCCCCTGTTGGCTGAACGTCTCCACTGAGCCCGAGACTCCGCGCTCCGCCATCATCACAGCGTTGTGGGATGCTGTTGGCATGAATGACGCGATGCAAAAAATGAACGTATAATTATTATCATCATCATCATCATCATCTCCGTTCATCCCGTCCATCCCGGTGTGATTACCACCGGAGCCGTCACCAGCGCTTAATTTCAACCGGGCCTGTTGAGGTCGGCATAGATACGGAGAATGTCCTGCACCCGGCACACCACATCCAGTTTACCTCTTGCCATGGCTGTGGCTGCAGCTCGCGACGCGCCACCTACTTCAGTCCACCGGTGACCCGAGAGGAAATATTCGGTGAGAGTTTATTCCCCCGGCAATCGCCAAGGCTATTTTAGCCGACGCGATATAATAATTATCGCCGTCATCGTCGAGCTCGCATCATAATCATTGTCATCTTTGTCAATCGTCATCAGCAGCAGCAGCAGAAGCACTGCCATTATCCTGTCCTGCAATGTTAAATTACATGATGACGACGATGATGGTGATCGTCTTCGTGATTGTTGTTATTTCCGTTCACGATTGTGGCCTAATCACAGTCTGCCGCTCGTCAGCTGCTACGCCGCGGGGTTCAGGGCTCGGCCGGGTGCCGGGATTTATCGCGGAAAAATCTGCATGCGTCCACTGTCAGATTGGGGGGTGGGTGGGGGGGGGGGGGTGCAGTAGAGCTATTCGTGTGGGGGGCCCAGTCTGTCTGTCGTGTGGGGGGCACCATCGCAGCGATTTGCCGCTCAGGAGGAGGAGGGTGAACGTGGCTGGGCCAAGGGGACGTTTGGTGGCGCGGCGCCCCCACCCCAGTGACCCCCACCCTGGCAGTCCTCACCCCGCCGGCCCCCACCCCACCAGCCCCCTGACACCAGGGTGGGGAGCGTCCGCTGATGGCATCCTGCAGCTCGAGCCGTTGCCCCAATCGCGCCCCCGTAACCCTTCCTACCTGTAACCGTCACGCTGGTCCACGTCAGCACAGAGATGAGCGGCAGGGTGGCGGCGCAGTGGTAACACTCGTGCCTCGCTAGCAACAAGGGCCTAGGTTCGAATTCCAACTTGGGCGTCTTTTTGCTGTGGCGTTTGTATGTTCCCCCCCCCCCCCCTGTTCCGCGTGGGTTTCCTCCGGGGTTCCCCAAATTTCGTCCCCATAGCTATAAACAAAGCGTACAATATTCTTTGGGTCTTTCGGTAAAGTCACGTCGACAGGAACATCCTGAGATCGAGCCTCAAGGCTGCGCGAGGCTGTCCCCGGGGGGGCGGGAGGTGGCGGTGAACGAGCGGAACCATCGCAGCGAGCAGCGTGCGGCCGTCGTGCCACGGAGATGCGTTCCTCTGAACGTGTGCGCGGTCGCGAACACAAAGACGAGAGATAAAGAATATTTATATTCTCTCCCCTCCTGTCCCTTCGCAACGCCGGCAGTAATTACGCAGCGGGCGCACGGAGCTGAGAGAGCAGGGATCGATGTCTGTGCCGTTGCATTCCTCCCCCGCCCGTCCCCCACACCAGCAGTTCAAATCCATTAACAGTGGAATTGATTCCTGGGTCCAGCACATCACATCGCCTCGAACGTACCCGGGAGGATAGAAATGAATTTCTGGGTCACTTGATCCATATTTTATTTCACAGCCGCTATAATAAATGGGCTTCTGTTTTGTTTCCTTGCCGATTAGAGGCACCGAGTGATAACGCGCTTTAATTGTTTCTCGGGCGAGTTGCGTGGATTACACGGACTTGTAACCGGGCAAAATTCCAAAAGTCCCAGCACTCGCCGTTAATCATTGGGCTTAGGACTGTGGGTGACACGGACGGGTCGCGACTCGCCGTAATTGCTCCGCCAGCCCCCAGCCGCTGGCTCCTGCACGACGCGCTCCACGCGGGAAACTAAATTGACAACGAAGAGGGGGGCCTGGTGAATCAGGGGCGGCCAGAGAGCACCGGACAGACACCCGCTCGGCGCCGAGGTTCGACTATAGCGCCGGGTTCTCAAGTGACATGAGTGTCAGCATAGTTCCCGATAGCTGCGTGACAAATGTCCGTTGCATTGATGGGATGGTGCCGTGGTGCAGTGCTTGGCGAACTGGTCTTGCCTTCCAGAGGTCAACCAGTTGGGTTCGACCTCCCGCTGCGGCAGTTGAAACAACGGGGCAAGTTTCTTAATTCCCCAACCTCTGTCCACCCAGCGGTGTCAATGGGCTACACCACAGTCAGTGTGTCGGCAGGTCACGGGCGGTGGGGTAAAGCGTGGGTACTCCCACCTTTTCCAAGACCTCTGTCCAGAGTGGGCCAAGACTCTAGCGATCCCTCTGCATGTACGTATGCACGTTGAACTTCTTTCGCACCGTACGTAGCCAACCGTGCTAATCGGAGGTGCGGGGTGAAGGACGGCGAACTAAACATCGGTTTTCACCCTCGGGTGTCTCTGGCGGGGGCTCTCGTGCCGGCGAGCGAGTGCGGTACGAGCAGGGCAACTGATGGCAACAACATCAACAACAACAACAACCAAAAAGTACCGACTCTGAAATGTAGATCTCGGTGCGCCGCTCACTCCCTGCGCTGGCGCCGTTGGCTCCGTGCGCCGCGTTGGCCTCTGAGAGCCGTAACGGTGCCCGCGTGTCTCACTCCCCGCCACCCCCCACACCACGCGCAGCCTCACGAGGAGCATGCGGAGCTGAGGGCACCCGGCGGTGCCGCGAGAGCAGCGAGAGTGGGGAGAGAGAGCGAGTGGAGAGGGGAGAGAGAGCGAGAGAGAGGAGGGAGCGCGCCCTGGAGGAGGGATCTCGACTCGGCGCCAAACTGGAGAACCTCGAGCAGCTCATCAAGGTGCACACGGCAGACAACACGACAGACAACAAAACCATCGACGCAACCGATGTAGCAAGTGACACAACAACAAACGCAATCATCACAACAACAAACATCACAAGTAACACAACAACACAACCAGCTACAAACCAAAAACAAGCAAACAATAACAAGCGAAGCGATGGATGGTGAACATCTCCACGTTTTACCCTCGGTGTCTCCACTGCGCCAGCGAGCAAATCGCCCGGCAAGCCCCCGCCCCCCACCCCCCCACCCCCCCCCGCCCCTCCCCACCCCCCCCGCCCCTCCCCGCCCCCCCCATTGCACCGGCTGTCACAAGCTGAGCAGGGCTGAGCCTGGGTAGTGCTTGGAGGAGTGACCGCCATGCCCAGCCGGTTGGCTGCCGGGCTACGTGTCGCCGCCTGTACTGAACACCAGTCACCATCTCTTGCCACGGCACCTCACATCGGTGGCTAGGAGATGTTAACTACCTCGTCTGGTATACAGGAGCTCGTGGGTTCGATCCCGACCCTGATGCTTGTAAATTTGGAGTTTACATGTTCTCCCCGTGATCGTGTGGATTTTTCTCCGGGTCCTCCAGTTTTTCCCTCCACGTTTAGAAACATGAGTATTTGGCTGCTATAAATTTCCACATTTCGATTTAAAGCTTTCGTGACTGCAGGGATTCATCTTCTTGGTTCTTTCGGTAATGTCACGTAGAAGGGAAGTAATAAAATAATAAAAATAAAACATAATAAAATAATTCTCACGACGTTTCGGCCACAACGCAAGCAGCCGTCCTCAGGTGAAACCTGGTCTGTCGAGGCAACAGCGTCCATTCAGACGCTGTCCATTTAGACGCTGTCGCCTCGACAGACCTGGTTTCACCTGAGGACGGCTGCTTGCGTTGTGGCCGAAACGTCGTGAGAATTATTTTATTATGTTTTATTTTTATTATTTTATTACTTCCCATCTACGTGACTTTACCGAAAGAACCAAGAAGAGAAATTCCCACGCGATAAGCCACTTGGTTGAGCTATCATTTGTGGCCAGGTCGCTTCTGAAAAAGAGCTGTACAGCTCAGTGGGCCTTGCCTGATGAAATAAAAAACAAGTTTAGTTTTAGTATCGCGGAAACGCTCGTACACCTTTTTCCACTGGCACATCTGAGCCGTACCAGTACAGGGGCATCACAATGCCAGGCGATTTTACCACTCACATTTACCTCGTCGAGCCGGAACCAAACGTTGAAAGAAGAGATGTCCGAATCTGGCTCGGGGCCAAGCAGCGCCAGGGCTGGGGTTAACGACGTTCTGCGCCCCCCCGCCCCGCAGCATATGCGCGAGGCTGCTGAGAGGAGGCAGCAGCTGGAGGCAGAGCATGAGGAGGCACTGGCCGTGCTCCGAGCCAAGCAGGACGAGATCACGTTCCTCCAGAAGGTGGGCGTCCTCTCCCGTCCTCTTCCCTCGCCCGCCCGCACGGTAGGGTCGCCGCCACGTCGCAGCACAACGATGTTATCGTACGATGTAAGCTCCGCGAGAGTCGCGTCGGATCGTCCGCGTGCGTTAACGCTGCCACGATTGTGGCCGTACAGCTATTTGGGTCTTCACGATCCGGCGGTACTGCAATGTAAGGTCCGCGGTTATTGTACCGTCCGTGTATATTATACGTACCGCTTTCCACTGTACAACCGAGCCATGCTGGTGCCGTGCCGAGCCAGTCCAGAATGGCTCAGCTTGGTTTTCCACTGCAGAACCAGAGCCGAACTGCTGTTGTTGCAAGCAAAAGTGAATAAGTCGAGTCGCATGTGTACTGATGCAATGTATGACGAAAATTATTAACTCTGCTTGGCCCCCCCTCCAGATTCAGAGGTCGCGTGAGTTTCGGCTTTCTTTTCCTGGCTCGAAAATAGACAGTGGGAAAACCACCAGTACGGCGAGGCACCTACGCTTGCACGGTGGGGATATGGCAGTGGGAAAGTGGCATTAGTGTTGTGGCAACGTGTTGTCTGAACGCATTAGGGTTGACGTGATTGAGGTTTCATCTGTGTGCGATGTGGCCCAGTGATGGCGGTGTTGGAATGGATTCAGCATGCACATAGCCACACTGGATAGGCTTTGTCTGTGGATTGGTGACATCTGTGTGGAGCTTTGAGAGTTATCATCCATTTATGTGTGGGTTTCCTGTGGGTACTCCAGTTCATCCGACGTGCCAATCATCAGTGGATTTGGTTAAACATCCCAATGTAGCGGGATGCTCCTGAAGAAGAGTCTTGAGACTCGGTTGGGCTTTCCTGGGTCAAGGACGACTTGATTAAGATGCAGACAAGAGTCCGCCGTGATCCTTGGGGAGACCAAGAAGGAACTGGGTGCTTTTTTGGGGGGGAATTTGTTCTAACATTACAATGGTAATAAGGTGGAGCAAAGGATGATCTCATTAAAACGTCATACAATTATGCAATTTAACTGTCAGTTAAATAGTTTAGCCTCATTTATACCGTGAAATGCATGGCAATTGAACGTGTGGTTTGGCATTTCCATATCCTATGATGGTGACAAACAGAGGCCCAAGTCGGTCAGCCCCTCGGCTGGCAGATCCTCTTTAACGCCCAGGCCACGTGAACGTGAGGCCTGTGCGCCCCTCTGCTCTGATAAGCGCTTGAACCCCACGCGCCGCCGCCGCCGCCGCCCTCGCTCGGGAAACTTATCTGAGCGCCTCCGAGCACCGCGGGGTTCATTGCAATTCTCGGCACACGGGGGCCCGACGGCGCGGCAAGCGTCGCGGCGTCGACAGGGGCTCGCGCAAAGTATACGCGGCCTTTTTGGCGGCACTGCGGCGAGCCGAGCGCTGATTGATCACCGTGCTTCGCGCAGCCGCCGCCGCTTGGCATGGCGCGCACGCAGGGGCTCGCTCGACGGTCGCACCGGCCGCTTTCAACCGCGCCCGGAGGGGGGGGGGGGGGCGCAGACTTGCGGAGAGCGACGCCGGACGCCGGCGGCGGTGGTGCTGGCCACGGCTCGTTCGAGGTTAATAATTCCAGCTCGCACCGGCCGCTTGGTGACCCAGCCAGGAGAGAGAGCGTGACCCCGGCTTCTCTCGCGCCGCGCTGCCTTTGGTTTTCACGTGGAGGTGGTGCCGTGGCTGCGTGTGTGTGGGGCTGCCACACGTTCGTGTGTGGCTGTGGGTCCGCGAGTGGTGGTGCTGTGGGTTCCTTTGTGGTGGTGCCGTGGGTTGCTATGTGGTGGTGCTGTGGGTTCCTGTGTGGTGGTGCCGTGGGTTGCTATGTGGTGGTGCCGTGGGTTCCTGTGTGGTGGTGCCGTGGGTTGCTTTGTGCACTGGTGCGGTGACTCGGTGGCTCTGTGCGTGCGTGCAGGCTCAGGTGGAAGCTAAGAAGGAACATGAGGGAGCAGTTCACCTGCTCGAGGTAATCGACCTTCTCTACATTTTATTACGCTTATCGTTAACCAGCACACACCTTTTCATGTCGGAACAATCAACGCAATTATAATCGTTACAATTTGCAACGTGTTCAGTTTTAGTTCACGCTTTCGCTGCTACATTGCCAACTAGTTTTGTTCAAGCTGTACGGTTGTCGAGTTCGGCGCCCGTTGGCTCTCGATAACCGGACACCGTTGCTGATTTAGGAGTCACTAAAATGTCTTGCGTTTATCGACAAATCAGAATTTCGCGCTTGCGGGCAACCAGCGCGGGAATTGCAGATCGCTCCGTGGGCACATTTTATGTTTTGTAGATTTAGATTTTGTTTTTTAAGACACGAAGCCTTTACAGTCCCGCACATAAACATGCCCTTGCGTATCACAGCGTTGAGAATTACTTTATTTTAATGGGCAGTTATATTAAAACTCGTTGCTGTTGTATACACTGCTATATCGCATAGCCACACTGGTGGTTTATTTTGTAAAACGTTTTTTTCGCAAGATATCCCGGTTTGAACATAAATATTTTCAGAATCCAAATTTGGCCTCTTGGACACCCCCCGGACCCCCCCTCCCCCCCCGTACCATGCAATAACAACCCGCACACACCCCACACACGCAGCCCACGCCAACTTGCACTATTCACTCAAATATTCTGTATTCTCGCAGAATATATTTTAACATCTTTGAGTATAATATTCACAAGCACCGCAGACTATATTCATCATTATTACTATCATTTCAACATTACATTATTATCATTATGATCACCCTCACCATGACCATGCATTAAGCTTTTTTGCCCTGATGGACCAATGTTTTATTTCTCTACATGTGTTTGACCCCATCCAGAGCACCCTGGATACCATGCAGGTACTTCCCTTTCATCAGCGCCATCCACCGGGAGCCTCAGTTGGAACCATGCCCGCTCCCTCTCGGAAGGGGTCGGCCGCTCATCCCCCGCGCTGCGTTTAGATTCCCTCCCGCGCCCCTTCGGGAGACTCGCGCTCTCTCGGCGCCGTGCTCCCGGGCGCTGCACAACGGCCGCAGCGTGGGATCGGCAACGAGCCGCCAGTCGGGCGTTTGCGCTCAACCTGCCCGCGGCGCGTTTTGTTTGATGCGCGGAGGGCCAGGAGAGGCGCCCAGCTGAGGTTCCCTAATTGTCCGTGATAGGCACCGCTTTTCTTTATTCGTTGTGTTTCCGCATTTTATGGGAGGATTTTTTTTTGCTGTACCGTGGTTCAAGGCGAGGGCACCGCTGCACCACAACATTGTCTCGGCACAACCTCCACTCCTCAGTGCGTCCGTCTACCACGCACACGCGCGCGCACACGCGCAGAGCGGCGCACGCACACACAGCCGTAACGAACCCGTCGTCTGTAAAAACGCACGAGGGCTCTTTGGTGTCCCCTTCCGAAGTGTGGCCGCACGTGTTCTTTGTGAGCGTGCCCGCCGCCTGATACGTACACACCACGCAAGGGGCTCAGATGTGCACTCCACTCACCCGCACGTGTAAAGCATGCGCCCGGCCCGCCGCGTGGTGTGGCATGAGCGAGCGACGAGTCCCATCGTCGCCCCGTGTGCCGTGCCTGCATGCCCCGCGTGCCCGTGTTCCCTTCTGCACCCGGCCCCCCACCACACCATCGTTTGCCCCGTGGCCCCCCCCCCCCCCCCGAGCACCCCCGCGATTGGCCGTGACTCAGTCCTGGCGTTGTGCGGCAGGGGAAGGTGCGGGAGCTCGAGGAGAAGTGCCGCGTGCAGAGCGAGCAGTTCAACCTCCTGTCCCGCGAACTCGACCGCTTCCGCGTCCAGGCCGGCAAGATGGAGCTGCTGACGAGCGGTGGTAGCGGCGGCGGCGGTGGCCTCGCCACGGAGCCACAGGGCTCTCCCAGCAAGGCCTACGGGGGCCTGGTCAACGGACTCGCGCCCAGTTTCGGCCTCGGTAAAACCGTCGTCAGAATCATTTTGGGGTCAGGGGGGGCAGTTACAGCCAGGCCTTCAGATCAGCTGGGGTCTGTCGTGCTTACTGAGCTGGGGGGGGCGGTCTCCATGCCTCGTGTGTGAATGGGGAGTGGGGGGGGGTCTCTGTGCTTCGTGTGTGAATGGGGAGTGGGGGGGGTCTCTGTGCCTCGTGTGTGAATGGGGAGTGGGGGGGGATCTCCGTGCCTCGTGTGTGAATGGTGAGTGTGGGGGGTCTCTGTGCCTCGTGTGTGAATGGTGAGTGTGGGGGGTCTCTGTCCCTCGTGTGTGAATGGGGAGTGGGGGGGGGTCTCTGTCCCTCGTGTGTGAATGGGGAGTGGGGGGGTCTCTGTCCCTCATGTGTGAATGGGGAGTGGGGGGAAGGGTCTCCGTGCCTCGTGTGTGAATGGGGAGTGGGGGGGTCTCTGTCCCTCGTGTGTGAATGGGGAGTGGGGGGGGGGTCTCTGTCCCTCGTGTGTGAATGGGGAGTGGGGGGGGTCTCTGTCCCTCGTGTGTGAATGGGGAGTGGGGGGGTCTCTGTCCCTCATGTGTGAATGGGGAGTGGGGGGAAGGGTCTCCGTGCCTCGTGTGTGAATGGGGAGTGGGGGGGGGGGTCTCCGTGCCTCGTGTGTGAATGGGGAGTGGGGGGGGGTCTCCGTGCTTCGTGTGTGAATGGGGAGTGGGGGGGGGGGTCTCTGTCCCTCGTGTGTGAATGGTGAGTGTGGGGGGTCTCTGTCCCTCGTGTGTGAATGGGGAGTGGGGGGGGGTCTCCGTGCCTCGTGTGTGAATGGGGAGTGGGGGGGGGGGTCTCCGTGCCTCGTGTGTGAATGGGGAGTGGGGGGGGGGTCTCCGTGCTTCGTGTGTGAATGGGGAGTGGGGGGGTCTCCGTGCCTCGTGTGTGAATGGGGAGTGGGGGGGGGATCTCCGTGCCTCGTGTGTGAATGGGGAGTGGGGGGGGTCTCCGTGCTTCGTGTGTGAATGGGGAGTGGGGGGGGGGGTCTCAGTGCCTCGTGTGTGAATGGGGAGTGGGGGGGGGATCTTTGTGCCTCGTGTGTGAATGGGGAGTGGGGGGGGTCTCCGTGCTTCGTGTGTGAATGGGGAGTGGGGGGGGGGTCTCCATGCCTCGTGTGTGAATGGGGAGTGGGCGGGGGGGGGTCTCCATGCCTCGTGTGTGAATGGGGTGGGGGGGGGGTCTCTGTGCCTGGTATGTGAATGGGGTGGGGGGTCTCTGTGCAACGCAGGGCCGGACGGGCTGAGTGAGAAGTCGGAGCGCCTCTCCGTATGGAGCCCAAGTCGCTCGCTGTCGGGCCGGAGCAGCCCCCGCCGGTCCCTCCCGAACGAGGTGAGCGCAACGCAAGTGCAATCGTTGCACCTGTAGGATTGTTGATATGGACATGTGTGTGTGTGTGTACGAAGGTAAAGGTGCAACCGCGCAATTCCCTGATTACGTCACGGATGGCAAAAACGCCTTGCACCAGAGGGAGCTCAAGGGAGCGCCGCTCTCGAATGTTTGGTCTACTCTGGCCAGACATCTTGAAAAAAAGATTTAAATTCCTGACCACGGCTAACATCAGCGGCGATTGATATCCGAATCGGTCCTGCCAATCCCCTTCACCGACCTGCGCTGACCAGCGTGGTGAAGTACGGTCAAATTAACCGCGTGCGGGGAGGACCTCGTCCAGCAGTGGCTTGTCTAACACAAGGCCACATGAGCTCTTTACAAAAAGCCAAGATTGTCGAGTCCTTCAGATACCCACGCTCGGAACGCCGCCGTCTCCCCGGCGAGCCGAGTCTCTGCCGCTGTTTGGCCTCAGCCTTGCGCATGGCTCCATCACCACCGGGACACTGGGGGGGGGGGGGAGCGGCGAGTCACCGTGCCCGCGAGCGACGCCAGCAGGACACGGCAGCTGCTAATTGAAACCATTTGAACTCAGTTGGAGAACAATTATTGGGAGCGCTTTGTTCTGTGCCTTCGGGGCCACCGTGGCACACGGAGTGTTTGTGTTGTTTTATGTCAGCCGCGGGTCGTGCTGCTGCCTGATGTACCGTCACGTCCCAGCACTCCGTGGAAGGAGTGCGCGGCGATGACTAAGATAAGGAGCATGCTAGCGCGTAACTCCATCGCGCTCGCCGCAGCCCTAAAGGGCATCGGTAATGTTGAAAAACGCGAGTCGTTTGCAAAACGCTTCGCGCACAGACAGCAATTATTTTTCTTGAGGCAGCACTGCGTCAGATTTAATGAAACTGCATATAATGCGCGTGTGTGTGTAGTTTTTCAATTTGCAATTCATGGTTTTGAGCACTGCAAGAGGAGCGCGACGACTCGTACATTATTCATGATCGTAAAGCAACGTCCGTGAGCCGCGGCTGCGGGGCCGTCGTCGTAAATCTTCTGCGGTCGTGAGCGAGTGTACAAATGTAAATCAGCGGGCTGCGTGACTGATAACGTGGAGGTTGCGTCGCATTGTTTGACCCAGAGGGATGGTTCTCAAAGGAAGACGCAACACTTAGGGTAGACACATTACCTTCCTGGCGAGCCCACAGCTGTCGGTTTTAAGCTTCGTTAATGAGAAAAAGAGACTTTAAAATTACATTCTGGCGTGCCATTAGATCACTCTACAGATGTCGCTATGGTGCCACTCCCATGAAGTGCAATACGCCAGTCGACTGCACATTTTTGCTTGTGCAGTCATTGGTGACACGGCATTATTTGACCCCTTTGATGCTTCCGGGCTATCTCTCTGGCCATAGTTATGAAACTTGCTTTTCCTGTGGTCTCATAGACTCGTCCACTGGATCAGCTGAAGCAAGGCCGAACCTGTGTCAGGATTGGGAAATGCAGTTGTTAAGTTCAAGCTTAATTTGGGTGGGATGTGGCTCTGGCAGTGAGAGAGATTTGGCCGTGGTGGTGAGAGAGATGTGGTGGGCGAGACGTCGCTTTGGTGGTGAGTGAGACGCGGTGAGCGGGAACGTGGCGCTTTACGCGTGAGCAGGTGGACACGGCGAGCGAGGCCGAGGACCTGGACCTGGACCCTGTGACGCTGTCAGGCCCCTTGGGGACGAGGCACCGTGGGAAGCTGCAGGTGTTCATCGCCCGATACAGGTGGGGTCGCGACCCCGTCACGCGTTCCGCCCCCTCGAAGTGACTCCCTCTTGGCATTGGCGGAGCTGTGCAGGCGGTGTAACTGCACCAAGGTCTATGAGCCCGGAGGGGCACACGCACGGGACTCCAAAGAGGAGTGAGAAATTGTAGGGCCCCATTTTTATTCCTTTTACGAGATCCAATGCCGACGCCATGGCCTTTGGGATGCCCTGTGTTTTCTTAGAATGTATTATATGCGATTGTGGTTGATTGCGGGTACTAAAAAAATATCGAGGCAAGCTTCGGTTTTTACGACCTAATAATAAAAATAATATTTTGATTGTTTTAGCCTGTGGGTCTTCAAGTGCAGTGTTCTCCGTCAGTATATGTTGAAGCACCAAACCGTGCTTTCACAGCCATTGGGAGTGAGCTGAGAGCCACGAGATGTTTATTGTGAGAGAGGAAATCGTGCCACTGTGCACATGGTGATGTGCCCGCGGTGATGTGCGCGTGCGCTGGTGTGCTCTCCCCGGCGCGTGTGTGCATGCTCCTGGTGTGTGCTCCGTGCATGTTCTCTGCGTCCGCTCCTCCGCAGCTACAATCCGTTCCACGGCCCCAACGAGCACCCGGAGGCCGAGCTGCCGCTGACGGCGGGGGAGTACCTCTACGTGTACGGCAACATGGACGAGGACGGCTTCTACGAGGGTCAGCCCTCACCCCCCCACATCCTCTATCCCCCCAAACCTCTAACCTCCCCCCACCCACGCCATCCACAGCCTCTACTCGACTCAGCTCTTGAGGGTTGACAAAATCAATACCGCTCCATGCGAAGTTAAGAGTGATTGCCCACCCCCCCCCCCCCCACCATTAGAACGTGCTCTTCTGCTGTAAATGGGCGGTGAGCTTTCTCCCGGGCTTGTTTGAGCAACACGTGGCTCTGAACTTTCCGTTGTTGTTGTTGTTGTTTTGATAACGGGTTTATTTATTGGTATTTGCGACGCGTCGTTTGTAAAGTTGTGCGCTGCGCCGTTCGTGGCTCTGTCCAGGCGAGCTCGTGGACGGCCGCCGGGGCTTGGTGCCGTCAAACTTCATCGAGCGCGTGCGCGACGACGAGATGTCGGCCTTCCCCGGGTCCCCCGAGCTCGGAGACCTCTCCCAGAATTCTCCAAACCGCAGCCGCGACTCCGACGGCCGAGCTGGTGCGTGGCCACTCCCTCCGCACCGCAAGAAATGGGGGCAAATCCTTGGAGCACACGGCCACAGCAAGGGGCCGACCGGTTACTTCTGAGATCCCTTCTTCGAGTGACCACCCCGTTCCACACAGCGGGGGGCAGCACTTTTCCGCCAACCTTGCGACAAAGAGTCGCACGTAGCGTACGACAAATCGATAATTTTTAACTCTCACAGCTAAAATTTTGCCAAATTGATGCCCGAACCATTTAATGCAGTCATCGGGCCGGCAGGCCGAGACTGACACCCCGCTTCACTTGAGAAGCTGGTTTAGTAAATGAGCAACCTCAGCCTGGATTCGAATAGCGTGCCCTCTAGCGTTGCAAATCCAGCGTGCGAGCCATCACGCCGCGGCAACTTCCTGCCAACGTAATAAGATGCAATCGTTCTCCGTCTCTCTGTGTCACGGCGGACTTGCCCCGCGCGCCAGCAGAACGGAGCCGGGGCTCGGAGCCACACAGCGCCGGCAGCGTGGAGCTCAGCCGTGCCGACTCCAGCCTGAGCGGCAGCACCTGCGGCAAGTCCTGCAACGGGCTGGGTGTCGGCGATCACGGGGGCGCCGACGTCAGTGGCGCCGGCGGCACGACGGACGCGTGTGAGCAATCGTCCGGTGAGACAAAAACCTCCCCCGCCTTGCCCCAGGCAAGGTGCAGAACGCGTGACGCTGCGCCCCTTGCTGCCGTGTGTCGGGGTTTGTTCGTTGTTTCAATCTACGTGGAGGCTACACCGGGAAAGAGTTGGGGGCTTGGGAACCAAACTGTCGAACATCCAAGGAAATTTGTCATCGTGATCATCAACGATGATCAGTCCGCTTGCTGGATGAATGCCTCCCCAAGCTGTTACCATCTCTCACTGTCCTGGGCCTCCCCTTTACCATCATCACATTGACCAGCGTGGTGATGTTTGGTCAACAACCCCCACGACAGACATGGTGTGGGAAGGCCTTCATCCACAATGGATTGACAAAGTGGTTGTATTGTTATTCAATCATTAAAGCAAAACTCCAAAAGAAATGTGCGGTGTGCGTGCACCTAGGCAGGGGTGTCAACCTGCAAAACTGTGACCACGCTCACCATTCTATCTCTTCCGTCCCCTCCCCGTGGTTCCAATCCCACCACCCGTTGGATTGTCCGGTGGCTCGCGTCGCTTGCCGCCGCCACAGTGGACCCCGAGTACGTGGGCGTCCCATACCCGCGCAACATCAGCGTCATCAAGCAGCTCGCCAAGAGCGTCATCGTCGGCTGGGATCCGCCGGCCACTCCGCTTGGGCCCGGCGTGGGCTTCACGGGCCGCATCGAGTGCTACGCCGTGTCGGTGAACGGGGAGCGCCGCGCCGTCGTGAGGTTCGGCGGCCGGCGACCGCGCGCGTTGCTCGAGAAGCTGGAGCTGGCGCAGGACGGCGCCGCGTACCGCGTCTGTGTGCAGACGGTGGCGAGCATCACCGCGCAGTTCCCTGGCCCCGTGCCGCAACCGCCGCAGCAGCAGCAGCAGATGCCACCCTCCGCGAGTGCCGGCCCCGCGCCCACGCCCGGTGGCGACGTCGCGCCCGCGCCGATGCCCAGAGCCGGCCCCGTGGCCTGCGGCCTGATGCTGCTGGCCCCCGCCGGTGCCATCCCCTCTCAGCCGTGCGGGACTCTGGACGGCGTGCCGGCGCTGCAGTACTTCTCCGACCCTCTGCGGTGCACGTCCGTGGTTGGCCGTGGCGCCTCCGTCGCGCCACAGAGCCTCGAGGTGCACCAGGTGAGAGTGCCCGTTGGGGAAATCTACGAAATGTCTGGCAGGCTCAACCGGGACACATCTCGAACTGCAGCCCCTCGCTTCCCCCGTTAGTCCCACCCACTTTAACGTAGTCACGCCCACTTAATCACTCAATTTCACAATCATAGTGGATTCGTTAAGGGTTAATCACTGTTATGTTGGGTCGTCCCACACAACAGCACTGCTGCTCCCCCCCCCCCCCCTATCCAATAGGAGCTTGAGCGAGGTTATTCGCACGATTCGGAATTCGTTTTTATGGTTCGGTTTTGATATTTAGGGGTCAGGAATATGGATTAAGGTTTAGGGCTTGGGGGTTGGATTTAGGAGTTAGGGTTAGCGACAGCCTTGCCTACGGCCGCTTTTCTCACTGCGCAACAGTGGAGACGCTCACGAACCAATCGGCAAATGGCTGCGGGGCCTCGTCCTCCATCGGTGTCCGTAACGTTCGCCCCCTCGCCCCCCGCCCCGTTCCCTGGCGACGGCGCAGGTGACACCGTCGAGCGCCGAGCTGTGGTGGGTGCCGAGCCACAGCGACTATACGCACGCCGTGTTCGTGGACGGCGTGGAGAAGGAGGTGGTGCGTCCGGGCCGCCGGCACTGCCCACTGACGGGGCTGAGGGCCGGCACGCGGCACCGCGTGCGGGTGGAGGCGCGCCCGCACCGCACGCCCTGGGAGCTCCCGCTGGAGCAGCGCGAGCACCGCGACGCCGTCGTCGAGTTCACCACGCCGCCAGCAGGTAACGGCGCGCGCGCACGTGGCGCCGGAAGCCTCCGCGTATGAGTGGCGGCCCATTAATAATCCACGGAGGCAACCCTGACAAAGTTGCTGCCCGGCGCTGGCTGCGGTGAGAAAAGCGAAGGGCGGCGGTGACCGATGATTGTTCCGCCCCACCGTCTCCTCCTGCAGGCCATGCCCTGGCGCCGCTGGTCGTGGAGGTGAGGCCCGGGCCTGTCCCCGGCAGCCTGTCTGTCAGCTGGACGCCCGTGCAGACGGACCCCGCCGGAGCATTCAACGGCGCCCCCGTCACCGGATACGCCATCTTCGCCGACGGACAGAAGGTTTCTCAAACGCACGATTCAAGACGTGTGCCGTGGTTGTCAGAATTTATTTTAATGGATGGATTGTTACACGCATAGTGTCAAATGTTAGAATAGATCACATGAATACGGCATGCTCCTGCCTATTTCAGGATTAAAAGCAGGCTCGTGTGCAGATCCTAGGTGGACCCCTCACATCTCAAGATCATCATAAATGGTGATGGATGGGGAGGCTTTCATCTAGCAGTAGATTGACTGACACCATTACTCGAAATTCGTGGAGTGCTCGAGTTTTTCCACTCCCCAGGGCGGCCGAGACCGCCGAGCATTCCGCCATGCGGCGTTTCAAGTCGCGGGCCGTACATAAAGATCGCGCGCGTGCGCCGGTGCCTCTCACAGGTCATGGAGGTGGCGTCGCCGGTGGCCGGAAACGTGGTGCTGGAGCCGTCGCACCTCCCAGCCGGCGTGCCCCGCACCATCACAGTGCGGACACTCTCCCCGCAAGGCGAGTCGGTTCACTTCGGCGTCGCCACCGTCATGCCCGAAGCGATGCAGCAGAACCTGCAAGGCCAGCAGCAGCAGCAGCAACAGCAGCAGCAGCAGATGCAGCAGCAGATGCAGCAGCAGATGCAGCATCAGCAGCAGCAGCTCGCGCAGCAACAGATGCAGCAGCAACAGATGCAGCAACAGATGCAGCAGGTGCAGCAGATGCAGATGAATGCGCAGCGGCTGTGCGGCGTGCCGGGCTACGCGGCCGTGCCGCTGCCACCCCGGGAAGGCCCGGCCGAGGGCATTCCCTCGGGCAGACGTGGACTCCCGACTGCCCCTCAGGTGGTGCCAGACGCCATGGAGAGGCAAGGCCCCGCCACGCACCTGCTCACACCTTTCGTTCACCACCTCACCCGGTCATTTGTGCTCTTGACAAATTGCCGATGACACCATTGGCGTGAAACTGGCGCAAAGACAAGAAGAGGAAACGCAGCACCCTGAACTCTGCGTCCGCCTCTGTCTGTCTCGTGCAGGCTCCACGCTCCGGAGGTGGCGCTGCCGCTGCAGGAGGCTTCGGCGAACCAGACGGACGGACAGATCCGCTGGAGCAATGGCGGCGGCGGCGGTGGCGGCTCGGGAAGCAACGGCCGGTCCCCTCTGCCATCGCCGCACCGCCTGCTGCCGGCCACGTCAGGCCTGGTGGGAGCGGCGGGGCAGGATGGCTCCCAGGTGGCGCAGAAGGCCCTGCCGAGGCCCGACCAGTCGAGGGGGCCGCCCTCGTCGTCGTCGTCGCGAGCGCCGCTCTCGTACCCGCGGTCGGACGACCCCGACGTGCCGCCCACCATCGCGCGCGCCATGGCCCACGAGGCCGCGCAGAAGAGCGGCAAGCGCAACAAGGCACGCTGCAGCGCGCGTTACTACGGTTACCGTGGGTTAACGCGGGTTATTGTGGGTTAACACATTGCTGCAGGATAACACAAACGCACCCAAGCGTGATAATTTAATGTTCCTGCTGGACGAAGGCGGTTCCATGCCGTGTTGGTCATGGAGGCTTGTTTGACCATACTTCACCATGCTGGTCAGTGCGGATTGGGGAAGGGGGGACTGAGAACCAGTTCAGATATCGCTCAGCACTGACGTTAGCTGTGGCTGGAAATCGAACTGGCCGGATCAGAACGCCACGCTCTAACCACTGCACCACCACTCAAAGCCTAATTGGTACGGGGTTTGGGCGCCATAGTGGCGAGATGTGAAATGTCTCGCCTGGTATGCAGGAGGTCATGGGTTCTATCCCGAGCCTATCACCTGTATATTTGTAGTTTACATGTTCTCCCCGTGGTCACAGGGATTTTTCTCCAGATCCTCCGCGTTTTTCCTTCCACATTTAGAAACATGCATTTTGAGTATTTGGCTGCTATAAATTCCCACGTGCTAAGACACTTCGTTTTGGCCAGGTCGTGTCTAAACCAAAGATAATAGCTCAGTGGGCTTTACCTGATAAAATAAAAATTTGAGTTCGTTTAGTAAGACATGAGCCCCTGACTTTGCACGTGATGGCAATGTAGAGGCGACTGTGTAACTGGTCGTCCCTGTCCTGCGCGGTGGGGGTTGCCGTGCCGTTAGAAGGAGCGAGGAGGGGTCTTCAGTGCTGGCGAGCGACCGGGGGATGAGAACTCGGAAGAGGAGGAGGAGGAAGGGGGGGAGCGCTACGGGACCCCCACGTCCAAGCGGCCCGGGGCCTCTGTCGAGGATTTCCTCAAGGGCCCGCGCAGGGAGCGGCAGGTGGGCTTGCACGGTCACGTGACTACTCTGTTGGGAGCACCAGGTGGGGTCACGGGGTCACGAATTCCTGCATTGTGAATTGAGTTTTCTAATTATTTACGATTCTGATTTATTGTTGATGCACATGTACAGCCCTTGAAGGCCTCCCTACACTATCAACATTTCTCACGATCTCGTGATACAACAAACCATCTAACTCCTGCACATGAGCTCCACCTAACAGTACGTTGTTATCAATGTAAGACATCCAGTGAAAGCTTCGTCACATTCACGTTGTATCGCGCTTGTCGTCGTCGTCCTAGCAGCAGCAGCAGCACTACAGCATGGAGGAGGAGGACGACTTTGGTCAGCAGCACTACGGCTCGCAGAAGGCCTACAAGAAGTCACACTACAAGCCGGGCGTGCCGGCGGACGATTACCGGCAGCCGTGCTACGAGTACGACCACCAGCAGCACGAGCAGTATGACCTGGAGGAGGAGGAGTACAGCACAGCGCACCACGGCCGCTATGGGCCTTCTTCCCCACCAGACGACTACGATCAGGGCCACTACGACCCGGCGATGGATGAGTACAGCCATGCGCGTGGCGGCGGCGGCGGTCGCGGAGGTGGCGGTGGCGACTGCAGCGACGGTGGCGGCGGCGGTCCGGCCGACGAGTACGTGACCGAGAGCAGCCGAGGGTCGGACCTCTCGGACATCCTGGAGGAGGACGAGGAGGAGGAGATGTACTCGGAGAGCCAGCGGGGACACGAGGACGGCCACGTCCGCCGGAGGGCCAGCCTCACTCACGGACAAAATAAGGTGAGCGCGCCCACGCGGCGTCGATGCTGGCGGGCACCCGGTGGTGCGGTGAGCCGAGCGGTGAGCGGGAGCGGAGTGCCGCTCGCAGTCACGTGGGGCCAACACGATATTGGTTTACAATCGATTCGTGGGAGTGCGTACACAGACAGCATTGTACTGTGGGTAGCCAACAAGGTCACACGGTGATGCTGTCATTGAGAGGTCCTATTCGAGCTGTGCATCGCCAACGCTGTGTAAATTTGATACAAACGGGGACCAATGAACAGCTTTGTGCTATTTTGGTTTTTCATGTTTTAGTTGTAAATTCATAAGAATAGGGTTTTTCACCTTTTTTCTGGCAACAAAACTGAAACCTTTTTACAATGAATCACGTCTCTATTAACCACAATGCTTGTGGTCAGAATGCAATAAAAAACACACTGATAATTAATATATGGATTGATAATAGGTTTTTCCCCTTTGTTCTGGCAACAAAACAGGTGTTAAGATGTGTAAACACCAAACTGAAGCCTTTTTTTATAAAGAATCATGTCTGCATTAACCACAATGCTTGTGGTCAGAATGCAAACAAAAAATACACTGATAATATATGCATTGTCCTTGAAACTGATTGGTTCACACAAGAGACAGCTTTCTTTTGAGCCTCGTCTCAAACGGTGCTAGACCAGAGGACGCCAAAAGGGGTACAGCTCAAAGACAATGCACTATCAGAGTCCCATGATGTAGATGCTCACCCCAAGCTCTCATTACTCTGATAGTGCATTATCTTTGAGTACCGTTTGAGATGAGGCTCAAAAGAAAGTTGTCTCTGGTGTGGCCCAATCAGTTTCAAGGACAAGGCATATATTATCAGAATGTGTTTTTTGTTTGAATTCTGACCACAAGTATTGTGGTTAATGCAGACATAATTCCTTATAAAAAGGTTTCACTTTTGTTGCCATAAAAAAGGGGAAAAACCTATTCTTATATTTTGGTACTGGCAAAGGAGGTCCCATGATTGTAAAAAAAAATTCCGTCAATTCTTTGCTGTACACTTTTTTCACGATTATAATTTTCTTTGCATGCATGTTACAATGTTTTCTTTAAATAATTTGCCTTATAATTTTTTCTCTTTTCTTGATTTCCTTTGCGCTGGCTTTTAATTCAAATCCCGTCACCTACTGGAACACCAAATATGCTGTTCTGGAAAACATGAAACAACATTTTTTTACAAAAGCACAAAAAGAACCAGAACCGTAAGGTCCAGGAGAGTGACAGTGACGAGGAGGCATTGGAGAGGCTACTGTCGCTGCCTCTTCGTCAGAAAAGTCGCAAGAACCTCTTCAGTATCCCAGAGCTGAACGAGGAAGACACAGAGCCCGACGTCTTCAAAATGAGCGACGCGATGAGCGTGAGCGTGGACGAGGCCTTGAACCGCGCCGCGGGCCTCGCTGCTGGCGCTCACGGGGTCAACGCCGGCGGCTCCCTGGATCGTGCCAAATACGCCAAGCGACACGTGGCGAGGCGGCGGGAGGCCATGAGGATGGAGGATGCTCTGAGGCTCGTCACGTCCTCCAGGGCTCCCCGGACGACGAGGGCCCTGCCGGTCCCCCTCACCGAAGCCGTGGAGCTCGGCGACGTCCTGAATCTCGGGGATGCCCTGACAGCGGCCGAAGCCTTCCGGCTCGACCGGGCGCTTCGGATGGGCGAGGGCCTCACCGCCGGGATCGACGGCTCGGCGGCGGCCGGAGGCGACACCAGGTCGGCCAAAAAGCAAGGCAGGGATTTGGCCGCTCGAGTGCGCGTGCCGTCAGAGGCCAACCACGTGTACGAGCTGGTGCAGAACATCAACGTGAGCAACGTGAGGGCGAAGTACGTGCGGAGGATGATGGTGGAGGGCCACAGCGTCGTCCCACCGCTGCACTTGCCCGGGGCGGATGCTTACGGCGGCCCGGGTGGTAACAAGGACAACGAAATCAGCCTCGAGTACGGCACGGAGGAAGAGAGCGACAGGTCACCCGCCGCCATCTGCCACAGCTCCAGGAAGCTCCCTCGGTTGCCGGCGCGCCATAAAACGGCGCCCTCACGCTACGGCGGTGGCAACGTCAACGGGCGACGGGGCGCGGGGGAGCCGAGCGACTGCTCTGACCTCGGCGAGGAAGGGCGAGCCAGGGCCTCGACGCGACTTCGCCGCTTGGAGGCAGAGTTGGCGGGCGAGGCAGCGGCCGCGGCAATCCACGGGGGCCGCCAGTGTGGGCCTGAAGGAGCGGTGGAGGCGGCGGAGGTGGCGGCAGCCTGGAACAGAGGGTACCACGCCGCTAGCGAGGAGGACGTGGATCAAGATTTCCTGCTTGAGCGGCTCTCAGTGGATAGCCAGGTGCCAGCGGAGCGGTGTCCCTGTGCGGGCGACTTTAATCTGTAATGCCTCTCAGGCCCGCAGGCTTTACGGTTAAAGTGTCGACCCGCAACAGGCCGCAAAAGTTCAAGCGGGACAATCGCCCGTCGCAATTGTTCGACCGCTCCGAACGGAAAATCGATGCGGGGGACGCGGACGTGGCTCTGTGCTTCTCACTGTTTCCTGACGGGTAGTGGCTCCCCTTGCCCCTTTCAGTGGAGACTCCTCTGTCCTCTGCCGCCCTCACCCCGACCCTCGCCCACCCTAACCCCGACCCTATAAATCTCCGCCGCTCTCCTGCACCGTTTCCATTCTGTGTTGTGCTCGTGCGTTTCTGTGCGCTTGCTTTGCTGCCCTCACTGTGATAGTTAGTGCCAATTAAACACGTTATACTTGACATTTATATTCACAGTACAACTTCAACCGCTATCAGGACGACGGAGGTGACGTCTGTGTTGTTGAAATACACTTGGCTGAGATATTGCAATGTTATTGAGTACTACAAGCTAGGGCAGGGAGCGGTAGTGCAGTGGTTTGCGTACAACTCCTGGCCATAGCTAACATCGAGTGGCGAGCGCTGTCTGAACCCATCCCAGGTTACCACCGTTTACCAACCTGCACTGAGCAAGTATGGTCAAACAACACCTGTGATTGACATGGCATGGAGAGGCTTTCATCCAGCAGTGGATTGACAAAAGGCTGCAACATGACAATGCAAGCTAAAGTGTCCAATGATTCTTCTCTGCTGGTGATTTTTGAAATTGAGGCCTGCGATTCAGTTCAAGATTTCACACATTTTAACATAACAGTGAATGTAGCAGCCTCGAGTGGCTGTAAGGGTCATGGCAACCCTTTACATTTAACGCGTTCAAAGCAGAAACAAATATTTATTCCCACACGGACGGGGCGTTCAACACGAGCATCGATACTAACCGATGAATCGTCTCTGCGCCCAGTGCTGTAAACTGATGCAACCCAAAGGGATCCGTTTGTGAGCTCACCGTCGCTCGGCGCGCCGTCGTGCTGTCCATCAGGGCTACGGAGGAGCCCCGCAGTCCGGAGCGTCGCGACGATCATCGCTGGAGAAGTCCGAGCAGGGACACCGCCCGCTCTCACGCAACCCCACGCCGCCGCGCAACCCACGGCCCATGACGGTGCCCTCCATCGGTGAGCGTTGCACTGACGGCTCGCCCGGCTCGCCCGGCTTGCCCTGCCGCCCTCTCTCTTTAGTCTTCTGCCCAGTCGCAGCTCCTTGGCTCAAACTCACTCCATCCGGCAATTTCACAAGCCGGCATGGAGGCACTTTGACTTTGAAAAATAATGATAGTTGACCGGGGGGGGTTGCTTGGGACCATATTCAGTGACGGGAATTGAAGTTATTCACGATGTTATGTTAACAACGAAGGACATTTGTAAAGGTGTTACTGATCGCGGTGAGAATTGCTCGGCACGTCATTTAGCGATGGCGGTGAGGGTTGCTGGAGCCACTGCTGACGACTGTTGCTCCCTGCAGAGATCACCGGCGACAGCAACAGCGAGGGCCGTCCATCCCCGGACCGCGACGTCGGGTACTACGGCGACGCTGGGGGCCGCCGGGGCCGCCCGTCTCGGAGAGGTGAGGCCCCCCCCCGCGCACCTCGCCTCTGGCTCACCCAGGTTCGAGCGTCATCAGCCTGAGCCTCTTCTGCCAGGACCTTCTCCCGCGTCCGTTCATCATCGTACCACGGAAATTCTGAAAGTAGATTTTATAACAAAACACAACAGGAAACCCGACTTCAGCTTTGCGAAGTGATGAACTTAAAATGCCAAATTGTACGGTAGTTGCCAGACAGTGCTATTGATCGAGGTTGAATTGTATTTTATTGATGATTATTTAGTTATAAATTAGTAATGAAATATTATGATTATTTTCTAACAATTTTCTAAAGGAAGATGGAACAAAATTGTACAGTATGATTATGAAAACAAGCATCTTGCAGTACATTAATAGTTGTTTTTTAATATTGTGTTTCAGTCTCGGCCTGGACAGGCTTTCATTGCGCAGGCGATTGACAAAGAGCTGTAACAATCATGATTGTAACTGTAACTATTCATCATAACTAAGTCCTCTTGATGCTTGTTGTTGTTATTGTTGTTGTCGTCGTTCCCGGCTGCCGCGTCCCTGCATGCCACTAGGCTGGCGGGAGGAGAGCGAGCTGGACGGAGGCTACGACCACCGGAGGCTCCGCATCTTCGTGGGTCTCTTCGACTACGACCCCATGACGATGTCCCCCAACCCGGACGCCGCTGACATCGAGCTGCCCTTCAAGGAGGGGCAGATCATCAGGGTGAGCGCTCTGCGCGCGTGGTCACCACTGGTGGACTGGAGCAGGTGGCAGCCATAGCAGGCCAGAGCATCGGGTGCAGAAATATTGTCTGGGCCGCCAAGGCAGACAGACCCGGCTTCCATTACGTTGCCGGGGCATTCGTCTGACGGCGCGTACCGCGTACGCGTTCCCACAGGTGCACGGCGAGAAGGACGGGGACGGCTTCTACCGCGGAGAGGCGCTGGGCCACATGGGGCTGGTGCCGTGCAACATGGTGTCTGAGATCGAGGCCGACGAGGAGACCGCGTCGCACCTCCTCAAGCAGGGCTTCCTGCCGCCCAACTCCGGCGTCGAGAGGAAGGGTAAAACGAAGGCGACCGATTCGGTCGCTCGTGTTATTTACCCCCCCCCCCCCCCTGACGTCCCCACGGCCCCTGTGAAGCTCTTAGCTTCAGCACCATGGCCAGGAGCACCCAGTCGCTGGCCGTGGTGCTGTGAACTGCTGAGCGTTAAGGGGCCACAGTCTCATAAGAAATCACAGGAGACAATCCCATGGGATGTGACAGCCTTGACATGGAAGCATCAGGAGGCCCTGGTTCACGCCGCAGAGGTTTTGTTTTTTGGTTTGTACCGCAGATTTACGATACGCGGTACAACCCAAAAACACGTCGGAGAGCTGTGGAACACAACAGCGAAAACCCACGCAGTAATATTTCATACGTTGACAGCAATAGTGTATGCATTCAGCATGGTAATAATGTTTGTCTTGTATACATGATACCTGTACACTGTGCGTTTATGTACATATATAGTGCACATATGAAACGTCCGGGAATGTTATTAAATTTGAATAAAAGTGAAGATGTGTGGCATGTCGCCTGTAGAGTATTATACAGTAAGTTTAACCGTCGTAAAAAGTTATACGTCCCAGATTATTCAGATTCAAATATCACGTGATATGGAATGGCATGAAATGACAATTCTAATATATCCACTACAGTGTATATATGTATGAGTGTGTCACCAAATACAGTAGCTGGGTACGTTTATAATCGTGTCAAAATCCGTTAACGAGGCATGAATTGCACTGCCTTACGCATCATGAACACAGTGCGATCCACGGGCCCGGCACGGTTTCATGAACACTCATTTGCGCATCATGAGCACAGTGCGATTCATGAATGCAGTGCTGGTTCATGAGCACAGTGCCTTTCATGATCGTAGCACAGTTCATGAAAGCCCCGTTTGCCGCGGTCCACGAGCACGAAGTGATTCATGAGTGCGGCGGTTGACGATATTAGCGCGGTTATCGAACGCAGCGCAGTTATCGAACGCAGCGCGGTTCACGGACACACCGTGCGATTCATGAACGCAGGGCGATTCATGAACGCAGGGCGATTCATGAGCGTAGTGCATGCACCGCGGGCGACACTCATCCACCGTCGGGCGACCGCACCCATGCAACAGCTCCACCACTCCACCGCTCACACGTGGAGGCCTGGCTCCGGCCAGCTCTTGTGATTGATGCATGCATGCAGCCAGCATCCCCGAGTCACAGGAGAGGCCAAAGTTGGCCTCGTGTCTCCGAGCCACGAGGGAGGGTGAGGGCACGTTAAAACGCTGTAGTGGAGAAATGTTGGAGGGTGGCATCACTTCGCAAAAAAAAAAACATCGCAGCTGCGTCACTCGGTGGCGTGCGTTCAGTAGCGTAGCTCTCACAGTGTGCCGGTGGTGCTGCAGCACCGGGGAACCACAGGCGGTGGGCTACAAAGAGTTGGGAAGTTTGACAGGGGCCCCGATTTCATTCTTTTTACGAGGGCCCTTGTTAACCGCACTACGCCACTGTGTGTATTCCTCCTCTCGCGTGCATGCGTGCACACGTGTGTATGTGTGTAAGTAGGGAGCGGTGGCACAGTGGTTTGTGCACTGTGCTATGAAACCCGAAACCCGGCAACCTGAGATTAATTTCTGGCCGTGGTTAACATCAGTGGCGAGTAATATCTGAAGTGATCCTGTGTCTCCCCTAGATCAACTTATCTTCAAATGAGTACCTGGTGCGGTGTATAAACATCAGCATTGGGGGGCTGGGTGTGGTGTTGGCCACACTAACTCCTTATATTCCATGTCAGCCCAAATAGGTCATTGTTATTAGTGCTTGCCCCAACAGTCTGGCTACATGTGGGATCCATACTCTTTGGTTCTTTCGGTAAAGTCATGTAGGTAAAAAGAAAAAAAGAAAAAATAAGAATTAAAAATAGAAATAACTAAATTAAATCACGACGTTTCGGAAGCAACACAAGCTTCCGTCATCAGGTGGGACAACCACAGCACGAAACTAAATTACTGTAGCTTGTGTTGCTTCCAAAACGTCGTGATTTAATTTAGTTATTTTTATTTTTTATTCCTATGTTTTTTTTCACCTACGTGACTTTACCGACAGAACCAAAGAGCATGGATCTTTGCAGTCACGAAAACTTCAAATCTAGAATCAAATCTAGAGTACATGTGGGATCTTTGTTTTTGTGTGTGTGTGCGTGTGTCCGTGTGCGCACGTGTGTGTGTGCACGCAAATGGCCTCTGATTGGCTCTGTCTGTCTCTGTCTCCCTCTCTGCCTGTGCATCTCTGCGCTGTAGTCATGCGAGAAGCTTACAGGGAAATTGCACGCTCACTGAGCAGGAGGTCCAAAAAGTCCAAACGAGGTCGGCACTTCCAAATTTAAACTTTTAATCATTCTTCGCTTTTTACGTTACTTTTTGAATTATTGTTCCACCTTGCTTTCTGCGGCCTTTGGTGTTCATCATCTCATTCATTCTCCACGTGAGGGAGGTGTGTTCCACGTGCATATTCACAACATTTCCCAAGTCTATGCGCAGCGAAGCAGAGTTTCAATTTACCTTTGTGTTATTTTACGTCCAGTTTTCCGTCGTCACAAGCCGTGACGTTCCTCCGACGTGTTCTCATCACGATGTCCGACGTTTCGTTGCACGTGCTCAGAGCATCTTCAGCACGTGGAGCGAAACGTTAGACATCGTGCCGAACAAGGCGCGCGGTACAACCCGAAAGAGCGTCGGAGAGCCGTACAGCTCAACCGCGAACATATCCGCGACATTGAAACGTGTTCCACGTTGTTTGGCGAACGTGTGCTTTCTCGGCTGTCTGCATAGACTTCTCGTCTCCGATGAATCTGCATGTTCCCACGTGCCGTCCTGCAGGAAAGGCCCGCAGCTGCCCACAATGAACTGTACCGCTTGTGTTTGGACGGAGCGAACCTTCCTCTCGCCTAACCGTGACTTCACCGTGCATTCCCATCGCTTCCTGTTTGCCCTGTGAAACATCCTTGACTCAATGCCTTGGTGACGCCGATAGGTCGGTATGCGTTGGCAGCCCAATCATGGCCTCTAGCCGTGGTGAGTTTCTGTGGTCCGTCTTGAGTACGGGCGATGGACCAGCTCTCACCTGCATTTGGCAGCGGTCATTATGATTGAGTTGTTAACACATTTGTGAAAACCCCGCAGGGTTCATTTAAGACGCGCGCACACGCACGCAGAATTCCACCTGTAGGTGTAGTCTGTGTCGCTCTTGAAACCGGACTCATTTTTTTTTACTGGAAGTGCATCGCGATGCATGCATCAACGCAGTTGCGTTAACGCCATCGGGTTGAAATTTTCACGCTCCAAGTTTGTATAGCTTTTTGTGCAGGTCAGTGCTTTTTCCTGTGATCCGTTGTTGGTCTCGCAACTGCTGCACTTGGGCTGCGTTAATGGCCAACGCTGTCGTGCCGACACGCAGATGGCTTAGCGAGTGGGTCCTCAGAGCTGAGCAGTCAACCCTGAACGAGGGCTTGTAGCTTTATTTCTGAATTAACGTTGGTGTCGGTGAATAGGTTTGATTACACTCCCACAGCAGGAAGCATTTTCTGTATCCGTGTAAAATGTTCATGTTGTGCAAAATCGGAGAAATGCGATATAGTTTTGGACGTTAATATTGACTCCGATAGAACACTATGGGTGCAGTGGAAGGTAGAGCGCGTGGTTAGTGCCTGAACCCGGCGACCCGAGTTCGATTCCCGGCCATGGCAAGTCGTGTGAGAGCCATTCCTGCCCTGCCCCAGTGCACCAACCCGCACTGACCAGCGTGAAGTATGGTCAAAGAAACACAACAACCCAGGACTAACATGGCCATGGGGAGACGTTCATCCATTTTGGTGGATCGAGAATGGCAAGAGTGACTGAGCGCACTAAATTTAGGCACATTCCGTTGCAGCCAGGTCAAAACTGATAGCCCCGCTAGTACCCGGTCAGTGTGGCCAAGATGCTTGCGGTGACGGACGTCGTTTCACGGGCCGTTTGGAAGCATTAGGCCTCTCGTGTGAAACGAAGTCGCGGGTCGATTTGGCACGAGGGTCATAGGTCACCCCCACCCCTGGTGATTGGCTGAAGGCTCGAGGATGTTTAGACGAGGGGATTGTGATGATGCTTCAGTGAGGGAAGTGATTTGATGAGGAGATGCGATGATGTTTATTTGAAGGTATGGACGAGGAAAAGATAAGGAGGCAGACTTTATATAGCTGCGATGATTTATTATATAAAGGGGATTGCGATCATGTATGTACGAGTGAATGGACGATGGGTAGATGAGATGGACGATGATCTGGAGATGAGGGGATTATTATGATGATGATGATGTTGCTGCTTGGGCTGTAATTATGTTTAGATAAGCAAGAGATGATGAGTAGCTGTGGTTAAGTTTGGAAGGATGATGTCAATATGAAGGGGTGATGTGTAGATGTGGGGATGATAATGGTGTACAGATGAGGGGGGTGCTGATGATGTATGGATGTGGGGATGATGATGTATGGATGAGGCGATGATGATAATGATGTATGGATGAGGGGGATGATGATGTATGGATGAGGGGATGTCTAGACGAGGGGATCATGATGATGACGATTTATAGATGAGATGGTGATGTATAGATGGAGGGATGATGCATAGACGAGATGATGACGACGACGATGTATAGATGAGAAGATGATGACGACGATGTTACTGTGAGCGAGACACACGTGTGGTGCTGCCCCCCCCCACTATCCGCCCCTGCCCCCGTGGTTTGCTGCCCTCTTCGCAGAGCGGAACCGCGCGGGAGGGCGCCTCGCCTCGGTGGCCACGCGGCGCATGGTGGCGCTCTTCGACTACGACCCGAGGGAGAGCTCCCCCAACATCGACATCGAGGTGCGGGCCGGGTGGCCGGGCAGCACATCTCGCACACGGCGGCGCCATCATCACTGCCGTCACCATCGCTGTTGTAATCACAATCACCGCCATCACCCATCGCTGTTAGAATCACAATCACTGCCATCACCCATCGCTGTTAGAATCACAATCACTGCCATCACCCATCACTGTTGTAATCACAATCACTGCCATCACCCATCGCTGTTGTAATCACAATCACTGCCATTACCATCGCTGTTGTAATCACAATCACTGCCATCACCATCGCTGTTGTAATCACAATCACTGCCATCACCATCGCTGTTGTAATCACAATCACTGCCATCACCCATCGCTGTTAGAATCACAATCACTGCCATCACCCATCGCTGTTATAATCACAATCACTGCCATCACCCATTGCTGTTGTCGTTGTAATCACAATCACTGCCATCACCCATCGCTGTTGTCCACCTTGGGGTCAGCTGAGTTTGATTCCTGGCCAAGGCTAAAATCAGCAGCAAGTGATATCTTAACCAGTCCTGTTTCTCCCTTCAGCGGACTATAAAATTGTATTATATAACGATTGCCACTGTATTATTATTGTTACTACAATGTTGTCATTGCTAATGATAATTATTATCAATAGCCCGTAATTATAAATAAGTGGCTGTGAGTGACGAGGTTGTTGTGTGTGTGTGTGGGATGAGATGTTGACGAAGCGTTCCTCTGCCTCAGATGGAGCTGACGTTCTGTGCGGGCGACATCATCTTCGTGTACGGGGAGATGGACGAGGACGGCTTCTACTACGTACGCCGGAGTCCGCCCGGCGGCGCGCGCTCGCAGCCACACACTCGCACGACGACGACAACCTCGTTGCGTGTCCCGTCGCTTGCAACCATGACTCGATGATGAGAAAGCCGTCGCACGACAGCAAATCGCTCGCCTCGTCTCGCTCTCTAACAGCGGCGGGTAGCCTACAGCGCACGACCGCTTCAAAGCAGCCCGCCAACGATGCGTATCCGACGCTGCGAGCATCGTAGCCGTGCTAATCGCATCCTAGAGGGGGGAATATTTTCTACCTGGCAACCACACCGTGTTTCTAAATCGAGCGCACCGTGTCACTTGTTACTGCAGTGGCCTCTTGCAGTGGCAGTAGTGGCTGAGGTGTGTGATGATATGTGGTTGCCCATCAAAGGTATTTGAAAGTCCTCTTTGGCGCTCGGCATAGAAAAGATTCCTCACCTCTGCTTCGCAGGAACGAACAGAAAATAAGTCGCTCTTCTCTTTGTGGTTACACACCTGGGTTGTGTGCGTCTCAGGCTGTCCGACACGGGTCTGCAACTTTGTTAATGAGAAAAAAGTATAACCCGTAAAAACAAAGTTTTTCACTATAAATCCTTTATATGCGTGGCGGCTAGAGTCCTCTCGTCCTCTGGCTTGAGATGGCTGCCACCTATGGGTCAGATGATTGCATTGCACTATTAAGCAATTGGTAATTAAATATAATATTTTTGTCCTAAAAAGTGTAAAATTTTGGAAAAAATTTTTCACGAACATTAATTGTCACGCACAACGAGTCTGTGTGGAAAATGTCAGCTCGATTGGATCACGGGAAGTGGGTTAAAAAACGACCGAAAGATTTGCACTGTCCTAAGCAAGCAAGCGAACTTAATATAAAGGATTTAAAGAGACTCACCTTAATTATCCACTGCATTATAGCACTCTAGTAACATCACTAGGACATCACTCTCATACATTTTAATATATCAAATGGAGTAATGTCACGTGATACCATGATCCTCCGTGACAGCTCATAGTAAGTTATTTATACTCGATAACAGCGGCTGATGCTCTGGATTATAGCCTCCCATAATGCGGTACAGTATTTACAATTTCGGCATTGAATATATTTTCTCGTTGACATAATGGCCGATACAGTTGTTAATATATACTCTTAAGAGTATTTCTCACCATTTATTGTAAACTTGATGCATTTGTGTAATATATTCCACATTGGCGTGTGCATGACATGTAGATGTGTGTCTGTGTTTATTCTTCTGCCGTGCGGTTGTGCTGTGGACGCAGGGGGAACTGAATGGAATGAGAGGCCTTGTTCCATCAAACTTCCTGGAGGAAGTTCCAGACGATGTAGAGGTAACGCCCGGAGCACAGATGCCCACCACATCGATGAGGGTCGTGTGTGTGTACTGTGATGGAGAGTGGAGGTGATGCAGCACGGTTGTGATAGAGGCTTGCTCTGTCATGAAGGCTGGTTTTGTGGATAAGGGTGGTTGTTCACGTCACAGAATAAGTAAATGTGCAGTGACTGCTTGCCCAAGCCTTTTCTATTTGGCCATGTAGAGGAGGCTAAATGAGTGTGGCATGGCCAAAGGAACAGACAGGTTGATATGGTTTGGGGAATTGGATCCGAGTGGACTTGCCGATGTCAAGATCGGCCTACTGGTCAGTTGCAGGCCCATAACAGCTGGTTCTGTCCCGTGACTTCTTTGAAGGCAGCATTCCACACTTCACGTGACAGCCTCAAAGTGCACCTAGCCTGGCTAAAGTGGTTTGGTGACGTCCGCATCACGTAGTGGCGAACGGCGGCCGTTGGAGTTGTAGGTGCGTGTGCGCATTCCGCAGGTCACACTGAGCGAGGCAGGCACCTCACCGCCCCTGTCGCGATACCCGCCCCCGCCACGCGACTCCCGGGATCCGCGCGAGCGGAGGGACCCCCCGCACCGCGACCCCCACCGCGACCCCCACCGCGATCCGCCGAGGGAGCCCCCGCGGGACCCCCACAGGGAGCCCCCCCACAGGGAGCGGGAGGCACGCGAGCCCAGGGACCTTCGCGACCTCCGTGACCCCCGCGACGCCACTCACCGCAAAGATAAACGGGTACGGTGCCAGCTCGCAAGCCACTCTCCGCCTGGAGCTGGGAGCATCGGCCGTGTCAGCTACCTGGTTTGTGGTTCTGGGACAAGGTCACGGTCAGGTCAGGATGGGGATCAGAGTCGGGGTGAACCATCCAAGGTTTGAGTCAGCTGACCAGTTTGGAGTTGTGGTTCAGGTCAGAGGATCAGTTCAGAATGGGATTTGTTAAGGCCGATAGACCAGTTCTGGGTGTAGCTGGCGTGAGGTCGTGACCGAGGTCAAGGGCACGATCACCCTGTGACCTTGCAAACGATGAGGATCATGGTGCAAAGTTAGCGGCATGTGAAGGTCACACGGGGCAGGGAGAATCAACACCGAATTAAAATGACAACGTGATCAGACAGCCCAATCAGCGTCTTCTAAAATTTTACTGTGCTTGTATATCGTATGCATATGTTTGTAAACTTTGAGTTTAATTGATTAATTAAATAATGTACAGTATTTGTGTATTTGTGCATGTTTGTCTTCATGTAGTGAGGAGCGGTAGTGTAGAGGTTAGTGCGCTGTGCGACGAACCTGGCGATCTGAGTTCCATTCCCGCTCACAGCCATCACCAGTGGAGATCATCTGAACCAGTCATGAACCTCCTCTAGGTCGACTCAGCCTAAAATTAGTACCTGGTGTGGTGTGTAAACATCACCACTGGGGAGACAAAGGCGGCCGGGCGTGGTGTTGGCCACCCACTCCCTCGTGTGCCGTGCCGGCCTTCATAGATGCTCGCTAACAGCACTTGCCCCAACAGTCTGTTCAGGCTGTACGGGGGATCTTTGTCTTTGTTTGTTTTTATGTTGCTCAACTCATTAATAAGGCTATAACGGGACAATCAATTCCAACTGTGTGGCTCTGTGCATGTGTATGCACGTATGTATGTATGTGTATTTGGAGTGCGTTGGTGCAATGGTTAGTGTGCTGTGTTATGAACCCAGAAAACGGAGTTAGATTCAGGCAGTTGGGGGGCTGTGAATTGTGATCTACCGACAGTCCAGCCCTCGTTGCGTGACCCCGGTCAGGCAGTTCCTGCCGCTGGCACCAATCCCCTGCGTTGGCACACGCACGCTTTTACTGTGAGAAGTGAATGCTTGTAATCTCTTCAAGGGGAATGCTCATTGTCAGGATAGAGACTCGTAGGGCTGCCTAGGACTGACGCCCAGGGTCCTGTTGGATGTGGCGTCGTGCTGCTGCATGTGTCCAATCATTGTCCGCTTTAATTTGTCTCTCTTCACCAAACCCTAACCCCCAGGACTGCCCATAGGTGGTTAGGATAGGGGCAATTTGGTCCAGGCCTCACACAAAAGAGGGCCCCAAAACGAGCCTATGTTGTTGTCAGCGAATGAATAAGGAGACCCCACGAAGCATCGTGCCTCGGGACTCACTCCAGGAGCCCCTGGGCAGCCCTGCTAACCCCAACCACATCACGTCTCACTGTCATCATCTCTCGTCTGTTTTTGCTCATGCTTTTTTCAGTTCGTTTTGCCTTTTTTGTTCTCTTGTGTCCTGTTTGGCTGCACACCATGTAACTGTTTTTTTGTTTGTTTGTTTTATTCTCTTCTGCCATCCCGTCGCCGCCTGCAGAAGAAGAGCGTGCATTTCACACGCTAACTAACACTGACCTAGTAGGAGTCACGTAAGTGTGCCAGACTCGGCGAAGGTACCTTTCCAACCCGGGGCTCAGGTTAACGCAGGCTGCCCAGGTTGCGCTTGTCGGTTGCCTCATTTTTTAGTTCAGCGGGCACGCGAACTCGCCACTCGTGCCGTGCCTTACCCTCAGCCCTGGGATCCGCTTGCGGCTTGTCGGCGGCAGCGCACGTGAACCAAACGCGGCTTTTGCGTTCGCATTGAGGGCCAACGATTTACAGTGAAATCCGGACCATCGCCTCCTGCCATCTGGGCCCCCGCATTAAAAAATGCGAATCGCGAGAGAGTGCGACGCTCTCATTGCCGTTCATTTAAGACTGTTCCTGTACTGTAAGCGGCCGAGTCCTGCGGTCCAGTATTTGTTTTGTGGGGGTGACCCTGGGCTGTGATTGGAGTGTCCTCTTCACACCGCCCTGGCTATAGCTGCTGCACGACAAGTCGGAACGGATGTCAGTTGACCTCGTACGAAGGTATCTTCATCCAGCTCGGCCGGTTGCTGTAAGATTCGAGATGTACAATGATGCGTGCTGCCTCGTGGCGTGCGTGAGACGATGCTGTAGTTAAGGAGGAAAGAGTCAAGTGGGACAAAAAAATATCGGTTCGATTGCCGCACGACAAATGTCGCTCGAGCTGAGCGTGTGAGGTGCACCGCCCAGTGAGGATAACGTCACCTTCCAGGGGCTGTTCTCTATGACGGGGCGATGCACCGCTTCCTGCGAGTTGGGAATTACGCTTTTGTTTCATGACATGACGCCAGTGGCCTCATTACGATGTGCAGCAAACACTTAAGCGATGCAGTTCTGCGCTTCGCTGTGCGAGGTAAGGCGCTTAAGACAGTTCTGCTGGGTTTATTTTTGGTTACAAGTGGAGCCGTCCTCAGGGAAAATTGCGTTGTTTCTTTTCTCGATTTGATTAATCTCAGTTGCGCAGCATGGTATTCAATCGCTCGTTTAATGACATCACTCGCTCGTCAGACCTTAGCATGAATAAAAAAAATTTGCTGATATTTCAAACTTATCAAAGCTAGAGTTAAATGAAGATGACCTTTCAGCACTTGAGCTGTTTTTTGCTGCATTTCTGTTCTCTGGGCAGTTAAATTTTATTGCGATCACACCGACGCACGTTTGATCCCAATGCAGTTTTATTACCATTGCATTACTTTCCTCCTTAAAAAATTAAACCCACGATGCCTGGGAGAAAATTCCATTTACCAAGATAATACAGGAGTGAAAAAGCATCGGTGTCCATCTCACAGGTGAAACATCCCTGAGTTTGCCTTTCAATTCCTGGCATATCAAGCTGATGAAATAACCACAGCTATACAGTACATTGAGATTTACGATGCCTAGTCAAGTTTACATAATGTGGTAAATGGGATTTGAGCAAACTTTAGTTGCCAATTCTGTTGTTCATTTACATTTTTAGTTTTGCTGTGCCGTGCCTGATATTTACACAGTACCAGTTGTTTACCGTGGGATATTGTGTATCCGACAGTTTATAACAATCACGCGATAGATGTGTCACTTTTACCGCGAGCAAATGATCACGTTCCAATTACAATTCTTGGCCTGTGAATCGCACTAAACAAAGTGCATATTCCAATTTAGGCCTTGCGTTGTAATAACTCACAAGCATGCCCAAAATTATCGTAAATTCAACACGTCTATGATACAATGAAGTCAATAATGCACAACCAACTAAAGAACAAAACGACTTACATTGAAATGGATAAATCGTCGATCTCTCTGCCTCCGTTTTCATTCATTTGTTTCCCTCGCGGTATTTGGCCTCAGGCGGATCGGGCGGCCAGGATGGGCGCCTCGAGGGCGATGACCTCTTCGTCGCCGGGGTCCTCGTCAGCCGGGTCACCTACGCGCGCACGCGGAGCAGGCAGCCCGTCGAGCAGCCGGGACGGCTCTCCGGGGAAGCGGCGTGGCCTTCTGTCCAAGGGCAAGAAGCTGCTCAAGAAGCTCGGCAAGTGAAGAGGGTGGTGGCCCTTGTCGACGGATGACGAGGAAGAAAGAGCTTGGCACTTAGAAACTGCCGAAGAGCGAAATGATCATAACCCCCGAGAGGTCAAAGAATTGTCCTTCATAGTTGTTGAGAAGGAAGACGAGTGGCAGCGACGACTTTAAGTGCACAAAGCGGAGAAGAAAACGGGGTTCCTCTACTCTGTGGGGGTTCGGCCGCAGTTGCATAGATGTGCACATTTGGACTTCTTCATGCCAAACGAGAGCCCACGTAAAAAGGACATTTGAATTTCCATGCACCGATGCATTCCTTTATATTCTCCAGCATGTGTTGTAGCATACAGTGTCGCTGCGTTGTGTTTTTGGACAAATACGGAGGAACCTGCGCTTGTGGACGTTGGTGATATTTACAGGGGAATTCCAAGGAAATTGGTGCATTTTGCACGGGAATGGCCGAAACATTGTGGACACTGACATTCATCGGCGGCAAAAAAAGCACCCTACAGCAGTGCCCAAGAGCTTCAAGATGTAGGGCTTTGTTGAATCTCGTTTAAGTTGCATTCTTGAGGGTTAAAGACGTTTATTTTTAAATCATTGTTTAAAAAAAAAAAACCTGCTTCTAATTTTACCAAATACACAGTTGTAATTTCAAAGGAACGTGTAAATCATCCTAACAGGACCAGCAATCACCATCAAGGGACTTGTGAGCCCCCTGCCGTGCAGCTACTCGGGACAGCACACATAGGGTCCGTGCCAGGATTGGGAAAGCATGTGTTCGTGCGTGCGTGCGGTGCGTGGTGCGTGGGAGCGAGCGAGCGAGTGTGCGTTCGTTAGCGCGCGAGAAGCTGTGCCTAAAGATGCGAGGGAGTACTGCTCTGCGCCTGACGCCGACAAAGCCACGGCGCGGACTTCTCGGCGGAAAGGATCCGCGTGATAAGTTTGTATTTGTGCTGCATTGGACCTCGAACTTATTCCTGTTTTGTCGTGCGGAGATGCAACGAAGGTGGCAAAAAATATATATCGTTTTTATGCACAAAAAAATTACATTTTCAAATGTTCACGTGCAACGGACCTGACGAATATGAACCATGTGCATGAAGTGAATGTCCCCGCCGTGGGGTGTGGTGCCCACGCTGCCCCAGCTCTGACAAGCCATCGCTCCACACCACCACTACAGTGTTCCCACAAGGCCCCGTGGACCGACGCGACACACGGCCGAGTCAAGCCCTGCTTCCGTGTTCTCTGCTTTAAGTGATAACGATGGCCATATTTACAAGTCTAAGCCTCAGGGTTAAACACACGTACGTACACAGCATGTCGGCAGACTCTGCCCAGCCTTAAGTGCGCAGTTTTCCCCTGGGATTCGGATTCTGTCCTCTTGCCAGTAACTTTCGGCAGACCTTCCTTGACCGTCCTGTGCTTGAAGCAGTATTAGTCGTTCTGTATCCCACGATATTACCGTACACTGCAGTGCATTCCGTGTTGCACCCCTAAGATTCGTTCAGTGGTGGTAACAAACGCGGCACTACCGTGCTCATCCTCACTGCGTTAGGCCGTGGTGGTGGCCCCTGACCCTTCCCAGGTATTGCACCCTCCTAGAGTTCTCCTTTTTAAAGTCCCATTGAGCGTCACTGCGTTCCACGACTGTCTACGGTGCTTAATGTTAGTTACAAAAAAGTGTTAGCAGAATTCCAGATTCATATCAATGTCACATCTGTGTTTGTGCCGCTGGTGAAAGATGGCATCAGTATAGAAGAGGACCCTGGCAGTGTGGTCTTAACCCGATGGGTGAACGTCCTTTCAGACGTCCCTGCGCTTACACATTGCAGATAACGCGTGCTGGTGACCGATAGCAAAAAAAAAAATCTGTAAATGTTGCTGCCACCCACTACTAGCCCACGTACTCGCTAACCTCACTCCAGTGACTCTTGCGTGCCCCCCCCCCCCCCCGTACTACTGTGTTGACATTTTTGGGCAATGCAAAAAAAAACTAACTTTGGATTGAGTTTCTGACCTTCTTTTCTAAACTTAACTTTTAACAGTGAATGGCCATAGCACAAGGCGGAGGCTGTAGTCTTATACATATGATGAAAATAGCATGCTCGATTGTTATTGTCGCTCTACTTGTGCTTCTTTTGTACATTATTGTTGGTATTTTTAAAAAAAGGCCTGTTTTATTCGTTGTTTTCCCAAACACCGGAGTGTAACGCTACCCTATGTGTTTATGGAAGGAGTATCAGATTTGATGTGAAGGCATATGGGAGCCACGTGTGAGGCACAGTGGCGGTGGAGCGATGGGGCGAGTGGTTGCGACACAGTCCAGACCACGCGGGAATGGGAACCAGGTTTTCCCGGATTCTTTTGCCCCTCGAGGCTTGAAGAGTCGAGTGCGAGAGTGTACGTGTGTGAAAGTGCAATACCAATGTCGCATATAATTTGTTCAACATTCTTTTCAATAATACATTCGAGGAGCAGAGCACACCACGTGGTATAGAGTACTTTAAATGGATGTGTTTAAACACAGCAGTGATCTCACCAAATAATTTCCGGACATTGAAAATTCATGTCTCAGTTTTGTGATCCTGTTAAAAATGTAGGAATTTAGCACTTTGTGCAATGCTGAAGGGAATTTCACTAATCCTTATAAATATTCTTCAAGTCAAATCAAACTGCACATTGTGAATGAGACGACCTATCCCCCCACAGGATTAACAGTTTAAACATCGAATAATATAGACGTTTTTACAACTCCATCAAACCTGCTGGGTGGCGTGGGTGGTGACAGCACTTCACTCGTGGTCAGAAGGTTGCGAAACAGTGAGCGCATCGTCCCTCTGCCGTCGGTAAAATAAGTGGGAAGTTAACGGCGGTTGTCCTTTGGAGAGACTGGCCCCTGCAATGTGAATGTAGAATTTCCACCACTGGCTTAGAAACCGCAAGATGGAGATGAGCGCATCAATTGCTCGTTCGTTACCAGGGCTCTTCATACAATGGTGGGTAATTGCTTTTGTGTCAGAGGTCGCAAACGGGTTTTGATTCCTTACCCGTACCCGGCCGCACCAAGGTCGCAAACGGGTACCCGTACCCGGCCGGGTACGGGTAGCCGGGTATCGGGTAGGGTACGGGTATCGGGTACCCGGTTGCGACCTCTGTTTTGTGTCTAACAGCCGTAGGCTAATGGCGAGAACTAAGGTGGGGCTTGCTGCGTTCGTGTTTACAGGAACGCCAACTGCTGTCCAGCACGGGGCTTGCTTCCCCTTGGCTGCGCGTGCCCACCGGCTTGTCTGTGCTCGAGACCCTCGTCGGGGGAGGAGGCCGACCGTTAATGCCGAGACTCGGGGATAGGAAGGGGGCTCTCGCTTGGAGGTTTTTCAGTGACGGCCCTCGGAGTTCGGGCTGGAGGGTGGCTGCTGATGTTGCGCGTCGTCACCGCGTGCGCTTGGATCATTTCCAGGGCTCCCCAGAGCTGGGTGGGAAAATGTAGCATTTTGGCCCGGGCCTCGCACAAAAAAGAGGGCCCTCAACGAGCCAGTTTCTTTTGCCACATATGAATAAAGGGGTCCCACATGGCATTCTACCCTGGGCCTTCAACCCCGGACATCCTGGAACCTCTGGGCATCCCTGAAATTTGTCTGTTTCAACAGGTAAATGCTTTGGCAGCGCATTTGAATGGTCTCTGCTTAAGCTTGAACTTTTACATTTTCTATTCTATTCTGGACTTATGAAGCGCCTTTCACCGAGGAGCTTGACAATGCTTGCCGACTGGTACAAAATGGAAAAATAAGGGAAGGATGGGCTCGTACGGCCGTTAGTAATCAGGTTTGGAAAAGGACTGAGATATGGCAGCAGGGGAAGGAGGCGATGGTGCAGGGGGTTGAAAGAGTAATGGGTGGAGTGTGATAGCGCATGAGGCTGATAGAAAGGGGTAGCGTGAAGGTGGATGGTATGATATGAAGTGAGTGCACGGAATGATAGGGTAAATGGGTTGCTAGCCTGAGCGTAAATGAGAGTAGATTGAGGGAGCAGGGGCAGTGGTGGTGTGGCGGTCAAGCAGTTGAACTGCCCTGAAGGGCAGGGGTAAAGCAAGGTTCAGGGAACAAGAGGGTAGGGGGGGGGCACTGACTAGGGATGAGGTAGTGCTCGGGGAACATGGGGGATGGGGTAATGACGAGGGTGGAGGGAGCGAGGGGAGACTGGGGAGGTGTTAGGGGCATTAGGTGGTGCAGGTAGAGGTGGCAGAAGAGGAAGGGAAAGAGATAGGACCTGAGGGCAGAGCGAAAAGAGGGAAGCGAGGGGGAGAGTCGGATGTGGAGAGGGAGTTTGTTCCGGTGTATTAGTAGAGAGAACGAGCGAAAGCGAGACTGGGCGCAGGGCGGCGGAGGGACGACAAGAAGATATGCAGCTTGTGAGCGGAGTGGACATGATGAGACGTATCAGGAAATGAGAGAAGACAGGTAAAGGGGGGGGGGGGCAGTCTATGCAAAGCTTTGAAAACCAAGGTGAGCAATTTAAAGAGACAGTGGTGATAGATAGGAAGCTGATGAAGTTATTGAAGGAGAGTGGAGCAAACAGAGGTGAAGGGAAGGTTAGAGATGGTGCGTGCAGCTGAGTTTTGACTTTGTTGGTAATGACACATGCAGACGCCACACAGTAAAGTCACGCTTGAGCTGAGACGCGGGATGGTGTCAAGTTTAGCTTCTGTGTTGAACGCCCTTTTTGCGAATCAAAATATGAAAAGTTTGCTGACCAAGTAACTCTTGAAATGATCCTCACTTATCGATAACCTAAACTCTATACAGCACGCAAGCTTTACCACCCAGTGCATATGGGCTCACTCCAAAAGTAACTTCACCTTTTTTTGTGTGAACCACAGTGTAACTATTCGGGGTATAATTATGCATCGATTCATCGATCATTGTTGATTATGAAGCTGATAATACATGCTTTGCATCACATTTTCAAGCAATGGCGTTTGTCGACCCGAATGCGTTATTTGTCCACGTGACCCCTGCAGACGCTGGATGCTGTTACATTTACCACAATTCATCAAATCACCCAGAGTGGGTGTAAGTGACACTTTTTACACCCCTAGTGACCATGTTGACGACTATAACACATCACCGAGACCACACCAATACTCAGTAACCCATTCACGCTACCTCTAACCCTCACCCCCAACACGAAGATCATGCCAGCTTCAGCAAGGACTCTTTCGTAATTTACGAGCTGCAGAATCCATAATACCAAGGCACGTGCGCGTTCTCGTGCATTTGCAGTCAATGCCCTGTATGCTGACTTTGGCAAATTTCCAGCCGCGTGCATTGACTCTGCTCGCTTAAAAGATAGCGGGCGGAAGGGTCGCGAGCCCCCCGTGTCACTGACTCCGATTTCGCAGTGTCGGCTCAGGCCATTGAACGCGACGACACTGTGGTTCTGTACACAAAAGGACATGGGTTCCCCAGCGTTTGTCCTTTGTCAGTTGGCTTGTTATTTATTCATAAGAGTATTTATCGGTTCAGCATGTAACTCAGTTTATTGGTGATACATTTAAGGACGTCTCAATTCCATCCGTGACAATATATCTATTTTGGCCAAATGCCACAAAAAACATGTTTTTTTTCTTCCTCTCTGGTTATTAATTTACCACCTAAGTTTTAATAATTCTATTTTACTTTGAGTTTGTTTTGTATAATCCGTCAAGAGTCCTGCTGGGAATGTCGATGACTGGTGTCGGTGTGGGCTTCGTGTAGAGTGGCACTGCAGGGCAATGGGATTTGGGGCCTCGTGGGCTGTCGAGGGTCATGTTATGACGTCTCTGTGCACCGTGAACAGCAAAAGTGAAAGGTGACTCGAATGTGACAAGGCCACTTTGAGGCGGAGAAAGCCTGAGTGCGTTGGCTCAACAGAGACCTTGATAGCCATGTTAGCCAAACAAAACCCCAGCCCTGCTTTGACCCAAATCACACGAGCCAACTAGATCCGAGCCCAACTCAAAGATGATTAGGCCGTCACACAAACAACTACTCAATCAGACTCTAGCCCGAGCTACACCACCCAACCAAAACCAAGCACGACCAATAACCACAACTATTGTATTCAACCACCACACTGCAGGAAAAGAAAAACCCTTTCTGCTTCTTCCCACGCACTGCTCAACATTTAATTCCTTCACATCATCATTTTTTTCCAAATTCATATAACCTTGCTCATTTCAATAAATGTATTAACTCTGATCTGCAATACCTTCAAATCGTGCTGTTTGTTGATGGCGTCTTGGCATGGTGGGCCATTGCGCCCATGTTCAACAACCGTAAAAGTAAAAGACAATACTTAACCCAGTCCTAGCCTCAGTCGTAACTACCTTAGGCCAGACCAGATGATGCCAACCAGACCGTAATACTGACCCTGACGCCACCTTGGCAACATGACCCATTTTTCATTAACTGCTGCACACTTGGTTTAAAAAATGTGACCACCTCTTGCGGTTGGAGTTTGGCCTGCTTTTCCATGCTGGCCAGACGTCTTTGAAGAGGTGCAAGTAGCCACACTTTACCCCCACCACACGCGATGCATCCTCTAAAGCCCACTGGAGTGGAGGCCCTTCCGTCAGCTATGAAAATCAGAAACGTAAATAAAATCCCCGCGTTACAATGTGATCATTTTGCGGGTGGAAGACACTCACCTCCCCACCATTAGCTCTAGCCCTGAGTTCGAGTCAACTGGCCACTCATGCGAGCCCCCGCGTCGACTGTAACTCTACAAGGGCCTGAACCCATTTTCACTTTTCGTTCGCGTTTCAGTTTTGGTGTGGGCAGTGGCCTGCAGTGCGCGCGTGTGTTGTGTGCTCTCTGTGGTGACGTCTGTAGCGATGGTGGTGGTGTCCGCGTGGCTGTGCATGCTGTACATTCTGTGTACATACCAAACCCACCCTTTTTACATGATACTGTAATAAAGTGTTGGTATATTTTTAAATCAAAGCCCATCCGTGTGTTCCTGCATTGTCACAGTCCTTGCCAAGGTGGTCTGCTAATTGCTATTCTACACCTGGTTTCCAGATTACAGTATTATTTAATTAGAGAAAAGGTAACGGTGGAGCCCTACAATTGCTTGCTCACGCCATTGCTGGGAGAACGGCGACCTCAACAGGAGTAGTTCTCAACCGGGGGTATGCGGCAATGTCCCAGGGGGTACGTGAGGGTGATTTATAAATGTGTGAAATTATATCGTACGTAAGAGTCATTGGTGAATAATCGTGTATGAATCTGCCAATATAAAATAACTACGAAAATATTAAAATCCATATGGTAATCTAGAATTATATAAAAGACCTTTCTAAACTCACTGATCGTAAACAATGCGGAATTCCTAGAGTAACCAGCGGGCGCGAACAAATTCTGTCACACATGTGTAGTGACATAGCGCTGGCTGCTGGCGGAAAATGGTAACTGTGGTGTACGGCAGTACTCAGGTCAGCAGGCCACGATATATACCAGAGGGGGACATCTCGGGGAAATGTCACAGAAGGTGCCCATCGGAAAGCCCCGGGAACTCGCTAGTAGGTTCCAGAAAGGGGGCGTGGTCGGGGCGGAGCGAGGCCACGCTGGGAGTGTGAGAGGGGTCCCTGTGGGGGGCCTCGGGGCTGTTGCTGGAAGTGGGATCCCCATCGTCCTGCTGCTCAAGTTCACCGTCGTCACCATCTCCTCGTCGTCGTCTCCGTCTTCACCATCCCGGGGCGCTGCTAGTCAGACAGCCTACTAACCGTTCTAACTAAGTAGTGCCGCTGACAATAGACGGTCTTAATGATAGTGTCCACCCACGTAGGGTGTTGTGTGTTATCCCAATGGTGCTTGTTAAATAAAAGAAGTGCCTCCAAGTATTACTGCCTCCGAGTTGAGTCACTACACATGCATGGCGTCCGTTGAATATTTTTTTTGTATTCGCTCGCTAGTTACTTGAACTAGTTAGGATATACCTCACAAAATGGACAATTGGTTAAAATATTGACGTTCATTATTCATACATTTATTTATCAGAACCATGTTGGATCAGGTTGAGAACCACTGCTCTACAGAGTAGGCCACGTGTGTTGAGGTTAATTGTGGCTGCTTCCACCTTATCCAGTGTGGAAGAAGAGCAGCCAAATGACCTCCTCGAGAGGGGGGGGGGGGCCTTCTACCTCGAATGGAGGGCCCTTATACTCGTGGTTATGTGAGCAAGTATATTCTTGGACTGCACCTTTACCAGGTGTACGGATGGACATTTCCCAGCATTTTTTTTCTCTAACCCCTCCCTCTCTCCGCCCCCACCCCCCCTCTCTCTATTTAAGGCCTCGTCACAGAGACGTTCTCTCTCTGTGTACCGATGTGTGTTCTCTCTCTATGTATCTCTGTGATATCTGTCTGCTTATATGTCTGTCTATAGTTTTCTGGTTAGATTTTTGTTGCTATTTCTTTTATACCTGATGATGATTGCTTGTGTTGCAATCGAAACGTCGTATGTTATTATTTTATTTATTATTTTATCTTTATACGTGACTTTACCGAAAGAACCAAAGAGTAATTTCCAATGACCAGCCAGTCGGCTCAATAAACAAAAGCCCAAAAGTTAAAGTATTATAGTCTATTGTTCTTCCAAGTGAGGTCAGGAACAACGCGCCCCAACTTTGAGCTCCGTCTTCTCTCTCCCCTGCCCTATCTCGGAGGGTTTAAATGCTGGGGCGTTTGGGTACCAGTGGCTGAGCAGGTAGACTGCGACACAGTATACTCATCTCTGGGCGTTTCCAGTGGCGGCCCGTGACATCGACCCGACTCGGCGTGACCAGTGACATCGCCACTCCAGGCGGGGCTCTTGCGAGTGACCTCTGAAAAGACGGCGTTCAAATTAAGAAAAACCTCGCCACGTTATTGGCCTTCCCGTGAAAGTGATATAAAACTGTCTTATCTACCAATGGTGAGGCATTTATAAACGATAATAAACAGAACAACAAAGCACTCACATGCTGTTCCCACGACCCTCACGTCCACACTCCAACAACCCCTTTGTCACTGCCAAAAGCCGAAAGAACAATAAAAAAAATCAGCTGACTCGACTCAACAAATTATCCAAGGCAACCAAGACAGCGCGTATTGTATAACAACAGCCACATGTCGTCGTACACCCACCTACTTAGTCTACTTTTCATTAGATACTTGTTTCGTTGTTGTGGCCACTGTCTCATTGTTATCTGTGGCAACTGTAACATCACTTCTAGATTTGAAGCTTTCGTGACTGCAAGGATTCATACTCTTAGTTCTTTCGGTAAAGTCACGTAGGCAAAAAATGTAATTATAAAAAATAAAAACAATAAAATCACGACGTTTCGGAGGCAACACAAGCTTCCGTCTTCAGGTGAAACTGTCACAGCAAATTATCTGATACAAAATATCTGATACAGATATTTTGCTGACAGTTTCACCTGAAGACGGAAGCTTGTGTTGCCTCCGAAACGTCGTGATTTTATTGTTTTTATTTTTTATTAATTTTAATTTCATTTTTTACCTACGTGACTTTACCGAAAGAACTAAGAGTATGTTACATCACTTTGTTTCCTACTAGAGCGATGTGGGCGGTGTGAGCTGCTCTATTTGCACAGTGCGACCTCGCGTCCTGACATCGTCTCGTTACAACCACGGGTGCCCTTCTCATCGCCCTGAAAGGGCGTGGACAAAATGCGAAGTTCATCGCAACGAATGAAGAAGGGAAATCTCTCACTCGGAGGACGCCTTCACAGCCGCACAAATCATACTGCGTTGTTGCAGCGGTTTCTACAATGAACTTAAAATGGTATCTTCGTTAGGCAATTCACGTTGAAAGTATCATTATTTTGAAAAAACAATTAAACTTACACACCCAGTGTGTGTACTTGTTCTAGATTTGAAGCTTTCGTGACTGCAAGGATTCATACTCTTAGGTTTTTTCGGTAAAGTCACGTAGGAAAAAATAAAAATAATAAAATAAAATAATAATAAATGAAAATAACTATTAAATCACATTGAGTTATTTTCATTTATTATTATTTTATTTTATTGTTATTATTTTTTTACCTACGTGACTTTACCGAAAAAACCTAAGAGTATGCGTGTACTCTTAGGTTTTTTACTTTTAGGTTCCATTACATCTATCGACTCGAGTTGGATCGATCAAAATAAACAATTATCACTCGTACAAAAACGGAAAACATTAAAACAAAAGTCTCAAATAGGTTAACATCTCGTACCTGCAATATCTTTCATATCACAACACCGCAACTGAAATCCTCCGTTAAATGGGATTGAGCACCAATGTTAAACATTTTGAACAAGTATTTTAGACATTTAAATCAACTGTAACATGAAAGTCTTCATTGTGCACATTTTTTAACGACCAACATTAACTCACTCAACGGTCGATTAACATACCGAGTTTCCCGTCACTCGATTAACATTCGAGTGACATCAACTTAAGTTCTATATTATTGGAGCTAATGTAGAATACAGCTTACCGGTTCAAAATCCATGCCTCTACTGTGCACGTGGGTCCAATTTATGATCACCATTGCCTGATTTAGATAATTTTCATAATAAATAATCATTACATTAAATAATTCTAATAATAAATAATAATGATTACACTAGCTTGTTATGCCTATCCAAGGACGGAAGCTGTAATGTTTACGATAAAATTGACTCGAGTTTAATTGTATCTTGTGTGAATTTAATGGCAGTGAATCTTGCACTAAAGTATGTCATCAAACACTTCACTGCATTTCACTGGAGCATTTTATTAATGGCAGTGAATCTGGCACAAAACAAAGTTATAAAACACTTCACTGCAGCCATGTTACTGAGCGCTCTGAAACTCTTGTCAAGACCATCGTCTTTGGGTTGAGGGGGTGGAATGTATTGCCGACACTTTAAACCTCACAGATCCCAGTCTCAAAATCACTTTCGTGTTTTGACCGGGGACCAGGCACGGTTTGTCCACTAGGAGGGCATTGGGGCACCGCTCCACCAAACATTTGGAGATGATAATTTATTTTTCTCGTAAAAAAAAATACTTTCTTCTAAATTGCTTTGTTGTGTTTAAAAATAAGTAATATTTAAAAAAGTTTTTTTAAACACTAATTGCCATAACGTGAGGGACCATGGCCAATTACAGCCAACGTCAGTTGAGCGTGGACAATTAGACCCAAGCCGAAACATAACCAAAAAAATATTGTTTAAAAATATATATCTTTTATGATATAATATAGTATTGTCATCGGTATGACGTAAGTATACCAAGTTTGCAGTTGATACCACATTGGGAAGTGGGTTAAAATTGAGTTACAAGATTTTAGGATACAACAACGACGACAACAACAGAGTGAGTTAAAAGAAAGCGTGTAAAAATGTAACAATTCTTTCAACGTGAATTGCCTAATGAAGATACCACGTTAGGTTAAAAGGTCACCCGTAGCTGTAACGAGACGATGTCACGATGCGAGGTCGCGATGTGCAAATCGAGAAGCTCACACCGCCTACATCGCTCCAGGAGGAAACAAAGTGACGTTACAATTAACACAGATAACCATGAGACAGTGGCCACAACAACGAAACAAGCTCGTGAAAAGTGAAGTAAATAGTAGGCTTAAATTTCGATTTAAAGCTTTCGTGACAGCAGAGGTTCATCTTCTTGGTTCTTTCGGTAAAGTCATGTAGAAGGGAAATAATAAAATAATAAAAATAAAACATAAAATAGTTCTCACGACGTTTCGGCCACAACGCAAGCAGCCGTCCTCAGGTGAAGAACAGGTCTGTCGGAAAGAACGTCTGAATGGGCACCACCATGTTTGGCAGCGTATATTTAAGCTAGTTTGGAGGGGGAAGGTACGCCTTGACACCTGAGGACGGCTGCTTGCGTTGTGGCCGAAACGTCGTGAGAATTATTTTATTATGTTTTATTTTTATTATTTTATTATTTCCCTTCTACGTGACTTTACCGAAAGAACCAATAAGATAAATAGTAGGCCTTTGTACATTGTATTAATGTCGCTTAGTCAATAGAGATCAAAGCGTTTTGTGTAGGATTGGGTGTACGATGGTGTGTTCGGTACGCGGTGTCTTTTTTGCCTTTGATAATTTGTTGAGTCGCGTCAGCTGATTTTTTTTAATTGTTCTGTAGGCTTTTGGCAGTGTGGACTTGAGGGTCATGGGAACAGCATGTGAGTGCTTTATTGTTTTGTTTCATATCGTTTAGAAATGCCTAACCGTTGGCAGATAAGACAGTTTTATATCACTTTCACGGGAAAGCCAATAACGTGGCGAGGCTTTCCTCAATTGGAGCGTCGTATTTTCAGAGGTCACTCACAAGAGCCCCACCTCGAGTGGCGATGTCAAAAGTCACGCAGGGCACTTGTAAAAGAGTCGGGGCGGGCAGGGTGGCCAAGGTTCACCCATGACGACTCAGCACTATAACGAGAGAGACAGAGAGAGAGAGACCTTGACTCGAAATCGCGTGGCGTGACACGGCGTGCTGTGACGGCTTTCGCCACAACAACAAAAACAACAAACATCGGGCACCACCGGCTTTGGAGGCCACGTGGCCGCATCTAGGACCACTGCCCCCCCCCACTCTCGCGACCCTGCTGCGTCGACGAGCTGTGTGTGTGCTCGCGTATTCGCCGTCCACCTCGAGGTACAATTAGCACGTGTCAAGCTTGCTTGCCGGGTGTGATATACTAATGTATACAATAATTCATCGGATTTTAAACGTTTTAAGTGCCTGGTTTTAATTCTAGATTTGAAGTTTTCGTGACTGCAAGGATTCATACTCTCTGGTTTTTTCGGTAAAGTCACGTCAAGTCACTTACGTGACTTTGCCTGATTTTAATGTGGAATCCTGCCGTTATGTTTTTGACCCAGGTCTCACTTGCAAATACTTAATACACGCACGGTTTCGATAAGCTATCACGTCGCGTTACATTCAGTACAGCCGTCTCGCGCCTCACGCAAAGTTTACGTAATGCGTGAAGATTAATTTACACTTATTTTATTTATCATGCGCGCACTAAGTTTGTATATAATGCGCTCCTCGAGCGGTGTTACGGAACGCGGCTTGCGAGTATGCCTCGGCAAGGTAAGGTCAAAGTTCAAAAGCAACGAACTTACCTTTACCCTACCTTTTACCTTACCACAATACAATCACTCGACCCTTACCTTACACCTTTAGCAAGGTAAGGTAAAAGGTCAAAAGCAACTAGTTTACCTTTACCCTACATTTTACCCTTACCCCGTACAAATTACCCGATTACAGGGTAATTACTGGGGTACTACTACACATGAAAAAGGTTTATAACAGGTAAATGCTAGGTAGAGCGCTTTATTCATATAGAATACTCTCGATGATTCCAATTTTACACGCTTACTGTTGTCGTTGTTGTCGTTTGGTGTTATCGTTGTTTTATCCTCAAATCTTGTAACTCAATTTTAACCCACTTCCCAATGTCGTGTCGACTGCAAACTTGGTATACTTATGTCATACTGATGACAATACTATATTTTATCATAAAAAATAAAAAAAGATATATTTTTAAACATTATTTTTAATATGTTATGTTTCGGCTTAAGTCTAATTGGCCACGGTCCCTTACGTTATGGCAATCTTCGGGGCCACTACCTGGGGTCGTGGAGTTCTGCCATTACTAGTACATTTCATTAAAGCGTGTTTAAAAAAAAGTTTTTTAATATTATTTATTAAATGGAAACCACGGACTGCGCCACGGAGCTTTTAGTGGTAAACAAGGCACCGTATTTACTGGGTAATACTTCGCGCTACCTTTACCCTACCGGATAATTCTTCCGAGCTACCTTTACCCTACCTTTTACCTTACCCCTTGGCATGTCGACACATTTACCTTTACCCTTTTACCCGGTAAAAAGGGTAAATTATCTTCTTGGTTCTTTCGGTAAAGTCACGTAGAAGGGAAGTAATAAAATAAAAAATAAAATAATAAAAACATATTTAAATAATAGTGAGAATTATTTTATTATGTTTTATTTTTATTATTGTATTACTTCCCTTCTACGTGACTTTACCGAAACAACCATGAAGATGAATCCCTGCAGTCACGAAAGCTTTAAATCGGAATTTAAGGGTAAATTACCTTACCTTGCCGAGACCTACTTGCGAGTCAGGCAGCAAAGTCGCGATGACGGCTGAGATGCAGCAACAGGAGGACAACAGACAAACACACAGACAAAACATCATGGGTTTTTTTTGTAACCCGTAATGAAACGGCCGTACGCCGTATGGACCTGAACACTTGATTCCCCCTGTACAAGAATAGGGGGTAAACCGTACGGGTTGACAGGTTAATTGTAACAACCACAGCAGCAGAAGTTATCCGCATGAACTTTGTGGTGTGCACGCATTTTGCCTACCAATATGTCCGGTAAAGCGTCTCACTATTTTTGTTTTCCTTTAATTTATTTCTTTAAATTAGGCTGTTACTATCTTTTAATACGTGTATGGTAGTAATGTGTACTGTAACCCAGTGAAATGTATAGACGTAAGAATGAGGTTGGAAAGCGTGCTCTTCCTAACCCCAACCATTTCCTTTATTTTTTAGGGGGAAATTTACGTTTAATTTACACGATTTTGAGTTACGCGCCTTTTTTGAAGCACACAACTTTCGCGTTAAACGAGAGGTAGCCGTATAGTACTGATGATTAGCTCTCTGATGTTTCCTCTTGTACCACGTGCTGTTCAGCATGTGCTGTCCGACGTTTCACTCTACCTGTTGCACGGCACCTCAAGGATTACTCTAACTCAGTTCAGCTCCCGAATAAAGCTCTCAGTGCTCAAAGCGAAACGTGGCACGGGCTGAACAACACAATCCGAAAACATATTGGCAGGTTATTTAGCACAACCGCGAATATGTGGGTACAGCAGGGACATGCGGTCAGGGGAGGCAGGGGAGGCAGAGCCTCACATGTCATACTCCAATGAAAATATCTGTTACGAAAAGTACAAAAAAAGAATAATAAAATAGATATTAAGATTTTCCCACTGATTTGTGTTATAAATGTCATTTCTGTACGATTCCAATAATTTTTTTTTGGCAAAATCGCCAAATTTACGGAGCTCCGCTGTAAATACAGGAAGAGAGGTGAGGCAGCGACGTGCTCAGCCTCCCCTCTGATTGCGCAACCCCTCAGTAACTGGATGGAGCGCGGGCAATACGCGCGTGCCTGTTACTATCTCAGTATGTCACCAATGTAATGTTTGTAGACCCCTTCATTTCATGTCCTCGCCTTCCATACTCCAGGTAACTTATTTCACGTATGTGTATAAAGATATTTAGGCTCGCTGGTCTCGTCATGAAACTGCAATGAAAAAGCACCAGGGGAGGCAGCTATCACATCTGCCTCACTGAGGGGGACGTGTCTAACACGCCCCTCTCAGTGAGGCAGATGTGATAGCTGCCTCCCCTGGTGCTTTTTCATTGCAGTTGAGGGGGACGTGTCTAACACGCCCCTCTCAGTGAGGCCACGCCCCCTCTCAGTGAAACCACGCCCTCTACGTGAGACCACGCCCCTTCAGTGAGGCCACGCCCCCTCTCAGTGAGACCACGCCCTCTACGTGAGGCCACGCCCCTTCAGCGAGGCCACGCCCCCTCTCAGTGAGGACACGCCCCCTCTCCGTGAGGCCACGCCCCCCTCTGTGTGTGAATCTGACACTAGCCAGTGCCTCCCCGCACGTCACTGGTGTGCGGTAGTAAAATACTGACTGAACTTTGTGAACCGTTTAAAAGAGCACGTTGTTCTCTGTGTGCTCTTGTGTAATGCAGCGTGGCTCGGGCCAGGTGTCTCAGCGGTAGAGAGCACGGTCCGCAATCGAAACGTTGTGAATTCAAATCCTGGTTGGGAGTGGCCTCAGCCCCATCATTCCTTCCTCCGAGCTATACAAAATTAGGAACCGTCGTGGAGAAGTCAACAGTGGTTGTCTTATTGAGAGCTTCACTCTTGGCATAAAAACGTGGAATTTCCTCCACCGGCTCAAGGCTACTAGCAGTAGATGAACACCGCCTTTCGTGCTCATTTGACCCGGAATTCACTTGGAAAGCTGCGGCATCCACCTCTTTGCAGCCGTCTGCACGTGAAGGTGAACTCGGCTCGAGCAGGTGCGTGACCCTCGCTGTGGTACAAGCGATGGCCCGTGACGGACAGGTGTTCGTGGTGCTGGGAGGCTCGGGGTTTTTGGGCGAGTGGGTGGTGCGTCTGCTGCTGGAGAAGATGGGCGACTCGCTGAGCGAGGTGCGGGTCTTCGACTCAGTGGTGCGGGACGACATGCGCGCCTTGGCGAGCGGTACGTAGGCAATGTCTTTGCCACAATTTCTGAAATCTCCGCTTCAAAAGAGAGGCCCGATTCTAGATTTGAAGCTTTCGTGACTGCAAGGATTCATATTCTTAGGTTTTTTCGGTAAAGTCACGTAGGTAAAAAATCAAAATTAATAAAAATAAAATAAAGATCACGACGTTTCGGAGGCAACACAAGTCTCCGTCATCAGGTGGGACCGTCACAGCCAGATTTGCTGCCAGATTAGCTGCATCACTTGATGCAGCTAATCTGGCTGTGACGGTCCCACCTGATGACGGAGACTTGTGTTGCCTCCGAAACGTCGTGATCTTTATTTTATTTTTGTTAATTTTGATGTTTTACCTACGTGACTTTACCGAAAAAACCTAAGAATAAGAGAGGCCCGAGTCAAATGCTAAGTATATCGACACGGTGCAAATAGGACAGGTACAATCCCATAATTGTATTTATAATAACCACATCCTTTTTTTTATTTTAGTCCGTGTGAAGTGTCTCTTGATTTTAGGGTTGTCACCTGTCCTGATTTTCCCAGGATCATCCTCTCATTGATGTAGCTGTACTGGGAAATCTCTGGGGTTTTTTCAGTTTCATAATCATTCATCACTCAAGACAACGTGCAGGTCCGTCCTGTTTTGGTCGGATCGGAACGTGTCAAAGAGCTTGTCCACGGAGGAGATGGAGCGATTAAATCAGTTCGTGTGCAGGCGCTATCTGGATTGTTACATCGCAGGATCGTGAACGGTGGCGGTGGCTTGGGGAGTCCTTCATCCAGCAGTGTCTTGATCATGGCTGATGACGATGCATTTGCATTTGATTAAGCTCACTGCTGGCACGTCGTGCTGGTGTGGCGCTGCAGGCCCGTGCAAGCTGACGCTGATCAAGGGAGACATCACGGATTTCGAGCAGCTGGCGGCGGTCGTGCGCGGAGCTCACGCTGTTATCCACTCAATCAGCATCATCGATTTCATTAACATCGTACCCAAGGAGCGCATGCAACGCGTCAACGTGGGCGGTGAGTTCGCGCAACCGGTTCCATGTCACGGCGTGGGACAGTTGCAACAACGGTGGTTTATTAAATCAACCCCTGCCCCACCGTAGCCAGGTTGTGTGTAGTGGGGTAAAGTATGCGTACTCCCACCTCTTACAAGACATCTGGCAGATTAACTCTAGAGCGCCCTCTAGCGGAGGCCCTTCCATCAGCAGTGCAGTGAGCGAGAAATTGCATGGCTACACCTTTAATTTTATTGCAGATGTGAGAATGTTCATCTAGTGCCCATTGTCGCGGGCGATGACGGCCACGCACAGCCGGCTGTGCTCATGGCCAAGCAGGGACCGCGCATTAACAACTGCGTGGCGCGTGTGTGGTGGCGCAGGCACACAGAACGTGGTGCGTGCATGCGTGCAGGAGAGCGTGCCGATCCTGGTGTACACGAGCAGCACCGAGGTGGTGGGGCCCAACAAGCGATTCGATCCCTTCTTCCGGTGAGCTGACTGTCGGCACGGGGCAGCACCACCTGCGCAGGGCACTGGGGTCCTGCTTGCCCAATCGCAGGCCGGTGCTGCTTTACCTTGTGCCGCACAGGGACAGCTGTCACTTGTTTCTGCTTTTGCGTGTCTGGGTGCAGCTCATCACCGGGGGCAAGCTGAGCACCCCTTAGGCAGGGATCGACAAGCAAAATAACAAGAAGAGCCATTTTTTGTGTCTCAATGTATATATGAATAAACATTTTCAGTCCATCAGCCTATTTGACTCTCCAAATAATCATGATCCGGCCAACGTCTTCATAGCATTTGACGAAATGTGGAATTGTTCTCCGATGTTTCTGAGCTCACGCTGTCTTGTGCTGCATTCACAGAGGAAACGAAGACACCCCATACAAAGTGTCGCACAACAATTTGTACTCCAGCACCAAATGTGAGGCCGAGAAGATCGTCCTGAGCGCCAACGGCACCAAGGTTAGCGGACTGGCGCAGCGCTGCCGCCACCGCGAGTGCCGCATCTGACACGGGGAACTCTACGCATCCCCAAACAGCATCTCTCATCTTGAGTTTAAAACGAGTCACAATAATGCATAAAAAGCGAACCACTTCTGTGCGTATGCAAAACATCCGTTTGCCATTTTCTGAAGAAGTGCATTGTGGTCCTCTTCTTGGCCGAGGTCACCATCAGTTCAAATATGAGCAAATGTGGCCGACAAGACAGGCAGCAGCAGTGATGCATTGAAAGAAAAACTGTGAATTGGATTCGTCCTGATTATAATTCATCAGTAAAGTTTAGTCAACAATGCTCACTGCTACAAAATATGCCTCTGGAAACCGTATATTGTACATATATATTCTGTCAGGATGGGTTTTTATCATCATTTACAGATATCTCGTCGTGTCGTATGTTTTTTCCGCTGTGTCCTTGAGCCAGGGGTGGAAATGTTCAGTGGTGGGAAAGACAATCTGAATCAGACTTAGTTTCAGAAGGAGCCAGGGACAAGTGTTGTAGTGGCAGGCAGTGTATATATCTACACAGATATACAGAGATGCATAATTCGCAAGTATCCGTCCATCAAGATTCTGTATGTCGCAAACGGTACATGGGAGGAATCGTGCATAAAACTGCGTAAAATGTCTGCGAAAATGCGTAACAAATACGTATGACACTGCTTTATTTATAAGGAATGTGTTGCTGAATCAGGAAAACTTTATTTGTGATTCAAGGCTCGCGTCCGCTGATCGTTCTACCGCTGAGCCCTGTGGCCACATTACATTTAAAGATAATCTAACTGCAGTTGCTTTAGCTGAACACGCAAATAAAAGCATGACAAGAACGTCACAGGGAACCACTGAAAACTACAAAGATTAATGTTGAAGACACTTCTTCGATGAGAGACAGCCAATCATTGCAGAACAAGAAGAGAAAAGTCTTGAGATGGGTTTTGCGAAGAGGAAGGACTTAGACTTGAACAGGGGCAAGGGGCTAGCAGAGTTTCCGAGCGCAAGGCAGCAGCAGAGAAGGAGCAATCTCCCATTGAAAGACGATTGACCGAGGGTTTTGATGGAAGGCCTCAGTTGCTGGAACGGAGAGCCCATGAAGGGGAGGAGAGTGTGGGGAGAGGCGATGGGTGGGGACAGATTCGTGGAGGAGTTTGAAGACGGCGATATAAAAGATTATTCGTGATTTGATTCAGAGCCAGTTGAGGGATTTGAGGATTGGGATGAGGTCTTGTTTGTGTGTGGCCATGTCTCTATGAATTAGTATATGACTCTAACCAGTCATTGTGGTAAACGGTTGCAAGGCTACACGGAGGGGAGGGAGGAAATCTATGTTTCTGCTTTTGCGTGTCTGGGTGCAGCTCATCGCCGGGGGCAAGCTGAGCACCTGTGCTATCCGCCCGTCGGGCATTTATGGGGAGAAGCACGACTCGCTCGAGCAGGCCTACAGGCGTGCACAAAAGAAAAGAGGGGTGGTCATTCGCGTCTCGCCCACGAACTCGGAGCATGGGCGCGTGTACGTAGGTGCGTAATGCATACACTCTGGTTTCCAATTCTTCCTCCATTATAGTATTGCGATGTGGTTGTAATGTCTCGACTAACTGGATAGCACGAAAATAGTTGGGGGTGAAAATGTTTCACGTCTATTTTCCATGTGTGCCACGAGCTGGGAGGTGACACGGTTGCATGGGTCCTGGTGCAAGGAATGAACCTGTTCAAAACGTGGAACACCTCAAAAGTGTTCATGGGTCTCCCTCCTACTCGACTTGCTCCCCCAGCACAATGTTGCCAGACCCTCCTCACAAAATCGATCCGGCACATGTACTCCTTTGATACGGGGAAGCGATCGCGTCAAAAATGGAGGGTTCCGTGTGACAACTCGGGTAACGTGGGGATGGTGGTTCTGCTGTCTGCACAGGTAACGTGGCGTGGATGCACGTGATGGCTGCACAGGCCCTGGAGAAGAAGCCCCAGACGGTGGGTGGCCAGGTCTACTACTCGTGTGACGAGTCGCCCTTCATGAGCTACACTGACTTCAACATGGAGTTTTTCTCCGAGCTGGGCTTCCGCGTAAGCGGAGAGCGGATGATTCTGCCGTACTATGTCTTCTACCTATTGGCGATACTGCAGGAGGTTTTGCAAGTAAGTACAGTCGGTTGGTTCCTATTACACTTGTCTAAAAAATCGCCGGCACTCATCCCTTCTCTCTTTCAGGGAAATTCTGGAATTCGCCCAGCTGCTGCTGTCACTGGTTACAATAAAAAAACACACACGCGCACTCGCCCGTTTCCGCCAGATCTGTCTGGGTCATATTTTCGCAGCCGACAAAATGCATCTCGTGCACCTCTCTACGCGTGCGAGCAACCCAACACAAAGTTCTAAATTATTGACTGTCGGCTGTGCGTGATGGTGTAGAGTTGCCAGTTTGTGGATGGATCGCATACAAGTAGCTCAAATGGTAGACTAATAAGACGTGAGAATCGATAAGATTTTTGCTTTTTAGTAAAATTTTGATTGTCTATTGTTTATACTGCATTCTTTTTGAACATTGTATTTGGTCTGCAATCACTTCCTGATTATCTTAAACTCCCCTTTGTTCTGGCGACTCGAGATGTACCGCATGGGAGAAGCGATATAAATAATACACGATGATGATGTTCCAGGTGGTGCTGGGGCCACTGACGGGCTTCAAGCCATTTCTGAACCGCTACATGCTGAATTCCCTCATCTCCACGTTTACCGTGAGCTCCGACAAAGCAAGCCGCCACTTCAACTACGAGCCACTCTACAGCTGGGCCGAGTGCCGCCAGCGCACCGTGGCATGGCTGCGGGCCTTGCCCGTTGCCGCTACGCCAACCCCACCGCACTGACCCCACAACACCGCACTCACTCAACTGAAATCATTATGCTAACCCGACCTCACCACACTGACCAATACGCTAAATGGGGTAAGGGTGATGTGTAAGGAGAGTACTGTATATGGGTTTCAACCGCTCAACAATAGCTACCAGGTGCTGAATTCACAAAAATCCCTCATTCTGCAGTGGACAGTGTCTCTTGTATTAGCAATGAACACCATATGCTCAGTGTTGAAAGCTTTTTAGTGAAACTCTGGCAGAATTCAGAAATAAGATATGGAGCAACCGACATCCTTCTCCCGCACATCCGATTCGCACGGATGGCTACATATGGCGTGAAAGAAGTTGAACTTACCATACATATATCTACCGAGTATAAACCACATACACACACAGAAATAATCAAAATCTAATTTTATTAAAACATTCAAAATCACAGGCACTTAAAGGTTTTGCTTTTTAGTGTATATTTCTTACGAATAATGGCATTGAGCAAATTTATATATAAAGGAAAATATATCGTGTGTGATTGTCCAGCTTTGCATTTTCAAAGGTAAACCGTATCAATTATGAAATGTAGATGCTTAAGCCAGAGCAAGGTAAGGCACATATAGGACGAGATGAAACCTCATCCCCATTACTTAAGAGGTAGCTCATTAATACTGTTCCCTGTACCTTTGCGATCTGAGAAACACAAACATTAAAGTGACTGAAAGGTATAGAAAATCAATGATATGGAAATTTTAAAAATCATTACATTATAAAATAAAGACGGAAAGCAAGCATGCATCACAGATTAAGAAAACATTTTTAACTCGCTGTGTTATTACTGAATTCGGCTCCGATGCAGCACTGTGTAACGCAGAGTTACTTTGCCACGTACTTCAAGCCAAATTAATTCTGGCCGTGATCAGTCACTAACTCTGATATGTCGCTCCATTGCATTGAACGTATGAAGGCAGGTTTGGCCACAACTAATTTTTAAGTAGTACAAACACTTTATTCTGGTTCGTGCTAAAGATTTCCTATCTCACGTAAAAAGTCAAATCGCAATATCTCTTCGTCACTGGGGTTTATGAGACGATTGCACTTTTACTGAAAATCAAACTACACAGCATGTGGTATGTGAATCGGGGGTGGGGTCTTAATGCCTCATGGATATCGCTGTGGTTTTCCCACTAATAGCCCCCACATTCGTCCGGCTAGAAGGCATAGTTGCGCCTAGCGGAGGGTGTGGTTGCGCTGGAGGAGGGTGGTGATGGTGACCCCCCATTGCCAGCAGAGTATGTAGCTGCCCCCCGCACGGCATTTTCACCCAGGACACCCGTCTCTCGGGATACCTTCAGCGAAAAGTCGACCACTGGGTAGCCCTGCAACAACACAGCAAATAGCATCAACCACTGTGCTCTTGGGCAGATGGATGAATCTATTCTATTTTATTATGTTTTATTTTTATTATTTTATTACTTCCCTTCTACGTGACTTTACCGAAAGAACCAAGAAGATGAATCTATTCTACTTTGTAGAATGACTCTGCAACATCTCTGCAATTCAACCAGGCACGCATAATACAATAAAGAGGAAGAAACAACATGCATATACACGGATTCTGTAACGCTTGCCAAAATGTGTTTTTGCTTTGGTGTATTTAATTCGCGATAACATTACGTTGTGAGCTATACAAGACTAGGTCACACGGCACATGACATGATGTCACAAGACTGGAGCAATTTGGGCTATTTTATATTGGGTAAGTCCCAATCAGGGGAGGCAGAGCCTCACCCGTCATACTCAAATGAAAATAGCTGTTACGAAAAATAGTAATAAAATTAAGATGATTCCACTGATCTGTATTATAAATGGAATTTGTATGATTCCAAGCATTTTTAGAGTAAAAAATCGCAAATATGCAGAGATCCGCTGCAAATACAGGGTGAGATGAGAGGTGAGGCAGCGACGAGCTCAGCCTCCCCTCTGATTGCGCAATCCCTCAGAAACTGGATGGAGCGCGGGCAATAAGCGCGTGCCCGTTACTATCGCTCTGCATGTCACCAATGTAATGTTTGTAGACCCCTTCATTTCTTGTCCTCACCTTCCATAGTTTCAGTATGTATATAAAGATATTTAGGCTCGCTGGTCTCGTCATAAAACTGCAATGAAAAAGTACCAGGGGAGGCAGCTATCACATCTGCCTCACTGAGGGGGGTGTATCCGACACACCCCCCTCAGTGTGTAAATCTGGCTCTGATACTAGCCAGTGCCTCCCCAGCCATTGACCTCACCGCACGTCACTGGTCCCGATTAACAACAAAACTTTACACTCATATGTAATTTATATTCGTTCATCTTTTTAAGAGTTAGTGACCTCATATGACTAATAGCCGGACAGAACTCATGCATGAACGCTTTCAACCTTAGTTGGAAAAAATGGGCAATGACACATTAGCAAAAAATACATACATTCGTAGTTCATGACACCTTATGACAGAAAAAAATTAATTAACTGATGTTATTTAGGTCCTTCATTCAGAGCAGCTAACCATAAACACTGCAAGAATGGAAAATATAGCAACGTCGTGGATGTTACCACAAGCACATAAGGCTACAATCTTTAGGTCGTCAGCTGGCATGGGTTACCTGCGTGAGGGAACCCAGCGACACGATGTCCACGCTGGGTCCGAGGTAGCGCAGCAGGTTCTCATCCGTTACGCCCCCACTCGCCTCCACCACCACCCCTGGAAACTCGCTCTTCAGTGTCTGCGCGTGCGTGTGCAGCATCTGCCACCATCGTCGATAAACCATGTGCTTAGGGTTAGGAAACCAGAACTATTGGTTGAATCTTGACTTAAAGCTTTCGTGACTGCAAGAATTCATATTCTTTAGGTCTTTCGGTAAAGCCACGTAGATAGAAAAATAATAATAAAAATATCACGACGTTTCCATTGCAACACAAGCAATCATCATCAAGTGACGATTGCTTGTGTTGCGATCGTGATATTTTTATTTTTATTATAATTTTTCTATCTACGTGGCTTTACCGAAAGACCCAAAGAATAATAACTATTGGTTGCTTATAAAATTCGTTGCAGCAAATTGGTAGGTCAACTAGTGATAAGCATTTAACAAAAAAATCTACATATAAAAAAAATGTTTAAGCTACTGCTGTTTGATAAATTAATATAAACCACGTCCCCGTTTTAATAGTCCCATTAATTGCCTCCTGCGTGGACACAAAGACACTGAACAGGCGGCGTGCTGCTGTGTGATATGGAGCTGTGCGATACTAACGGGTGGAGCAACGTTATCCAGCATGATGACATCCGCCCCCGCCCGGGCTGCCTCCCGCCCCTCCTCCAGTGTGCGACACTCAACCTCCACCTTCAGGCTGAATCCACCAACGCGCTTCGCATCACGCACGGCCTGCACGCGACCACACGTTTCAAGTCTTTAACATCCCACACACAAGTCAACATTGGCCCACTCACCAGTCCATACATCCACACGTCCACAGTTACCTGTGTTATCCCGCCAGACGACCACACATGGTTGTCCTTGAGCATGATCATGGAGGAGAGGTCATATCGGTGAGTGGCAGCACCGCCCACCAGCAGCGCGTGTTTCTCCACCAAGCGGAATCCCGGCGTCGTCTTGCGCGTTCCCGCAACCTGGCCGGCCCAGCCCGCCGCTCGTGCCGTCTCGCAGGCCCTCCGCGCCGCCGTGGCCACTCCGCTGGCACGGGCCAGACAGTTGAGTGCGGGTCGCTCTGCCAGGAGGAGGTGCCGCGCCTTGCCGGTGACCACCGCAACGCGACACGGTGCCTCGCCGGCATGCCTGGACAAGCATTAATGAGCCAATGTGGTATTCTGACCTTAATAGTTTAGCTTAAACTGAACCATGTAGCGTCAGCTGAGCCAGACCCAGTTTTCTTAAGGGTCCACGTCATGCATTCCAATAAAGAAAGAATATATTTTTTGCTTTTCCATTAAAAATGCTGTAAAAACGGTACACTTCATGTTTGCCATATTCCAGGGAATGTGACCCCACTAGTATTTCGCAACCAAGAACCACATATAAAAAAGTTACCTCTGTTTTTTTGCCTTGATAAGATATTTTATAAATGTACAGTCTATTGCACAATGCTAAAAATGTAAAAATCCAAATTCGGCATGAAGTTGTAACACGGCTGCTTTCAGTGCGATGCATTGAAATATCAATGCATTGCTCTACCCCGCAGCGGGTGTGACATAAACATGAATGCCCTATAACAGCGTGATGCACCCATACCTGTCAACCCATACAGTTTACCTGTATTCTTACCAAGGGAAATTGAGTTTTCACGTTCATACGGTGTACAGCCGTTTAAATATGGGCAAAATATTGTTTTTGCCTATTTGTATTTCTCTCTTGTAATAGGACTTTTTAGGATGAACGTTGAGATGTATAAGGGCACTGGGTGACCGATAAGGTCTGAATTGGTCTGTAATAAGGTAGGGGCACTGATCAGCACAGGTGTGTGCACCGTACCGTAGCAGCATGTCCCCGTCGTGGTAGAACCACTCGACGTTGCAGCCCAGCTCATGAAACACGGCCTGGAAGAATGGTGCCCCAGCCAACACGCCGGGCGTCTTGCACAGCAGCACGGCGCGCTCGTCGCGCTCGCCCACCACCAGCCCTCCGTAGTCGAAGGCAGGCGAGTCCTCCCGCAGCCACGCACGCGCCAGGTCGCTCAGCGAGGCCGGTGGCAGAAGGTGGGACAGGTCGGCCATGGAATTCATCCTCCCCGGGGGAGCTCCACACTTTGCACGTGGCAGCGGCGAGGACGGCAGCGATGACCTGATATGGACGCGGTGGTGACCTGAGAAATATAGTTCACGGAGTTTTAACCATATGACCCCATACCAGAGGTCGCAAACGGGTTTTGATTCCTTACCCGTACCCGTACCCGGCCGCACCAGGGTCGCAAACGGGTACCCGTACCCTACCCAATACCCAGCTACCCGTACCCGGCCGGGTATCGGGTAGGGTACGGGTACCCGATTGCGACCTCTGCCCCATACATCATGTATATTCATGGTTTAGCGGCGGTGCACTGCGCTACGAATCCACAGCAACTTGAATTTGATTCCTGGCCATGGCTAACATCAGTGGCAAGTGAATGCAGAACCGGTCCTCGCCACCCCCTTCAACAACCCGCATTGACCATCGTGTAGAGTCGTATGGTCAAACAATCCCCATGAGTAACGCAGTGGAGGGAGGCCTTCAATCAATAGTGGGTTGACAGAGAACTGTAAATGACTAATGTTTAACCCATAAATACAAGATGACATTTTTAAAAGCGCTAAGTAATCCACCTCGACATCTTTACTCCGACATTTCTCGTACGGTACTTTGTTTGCACGTTACTTTCACGTGTGATGCAACACTGGTTATACAATGTTATATTCTTAATGTCGACATTTACAGCCGCTGGTGTAAAACGATTACACCATCCTTATATAACACTCAGACAAACTGAAAGCGGTTAGATTTACGAGCCGTGCTAGGGTCACGGACAGGATTATCATCTGGGTTACGGTCTAGGGTGAGGGTTAAAGATTTGGTGAGGGGTTAAGGTGAGTTTTAGCTAGATAATAGAAGTCAGAATCAGGAACTGTGAAAGTGTTAAGGGTAGTGTTAGTGTCATGGTTAGGAGTTAGGGTCAGAGCTTTTGGTTAGGGTCTGAGTCAAGCGATTCTTTATGAGAGGTTTAATGTTAGAGTTCAGTGATGATGAGGGTTAGGGGCAACATTGGGGTCATGGTATGGGTCAGACGGAGTAAGATCTCGGCCTCCCCGCGACCTTCCCTGGACAATGAAGGAGATCAGCGCAATGCCCCCCACGGTCTGGCCAAGCTAAGGGCCCGAAGGTCACACAGTAAGAATGAGTGTCGTTAGGTGAGGTAAGAGGGTGGAGGGTGAGGGCCACTGGGCGAGGGCCACTGGGCGAGGTGGAGGTGAGGGATTGGAGGTGAGGTGAGGGGGACCTTGAGTGAGGTTACGGGTAAATGTGAGCAGAGATTTTCATGCGTGAATGGAAAAGACCCCGGTGAGGATGAGGTCCCCCGGTTGGGAGTAAAGGTGAGGGCGACAGGGGTGAGGGCGACAGGGGTTGAGGTGGTGAGGACGACAGGGGTTGAGGGGGTGAGGGCGACAGGGGTTGAGGGGGTGAGGGACCCTGCCTGGGTGAAGCGTGGTACGGTGGTGTGGGCCGCGGTGAGAGGTACAGACGGGGGTGAGGAGTGGTGAGCGTTTGGGGAGAAGAAAGACTGTACCGTGCAAGTAAAGGTGAGGGTACCGGTGGGAGATGGAGGTGAGGAGTAAAGATGAAGTCCCCAGGTGAGTAGCGGGGAGGAAGCCTGGGCAGGGGTAAGGGCCGCGGTGAGGAGTCGAGATGGGTGTGAGTGGTGAGGGTTAGAGGGCGAGGAGTGGTGAGGGTTAGAGGGTGAGTGTTAGAGTGTGAGTGGTGAGTGTGAGGAGTGGTGAGGGTTAGAGGGTGAGGAGTGGTGAGGGTGACGAGTGGTGAGGGTGACGAGTGGTGAGGTTTAGAGGGTGAGTGGTGAGGGTGAGGGTTAGAGTGTGAGGAGTGGTGAGGGTTAGAGGGTGAGTGGTGAGTGTTAGAGTGTGAGTGGTGAGTGTGAGGAGTGGTGAGGGTTAGAGGGCGAGGAGTGGTGAGTGTTAGAGTGTGAGTGGTGAGTGTGAGGAGTGGTGAGGGTTAGAGGGTGAGGAGTGGTGAGGGTGACGAGTGGTGAGGGTGACGAGTGGTGAGGGTGACGAGTGGTGAGGTTTAGAGGGTGAGTGGTGAGGGTGAGGGTTAGAGTGTGAGGAGTGGTGAGGGTTAGAGGGTGAGTGGTGAGTGTTAGAGTGTGAGTGGTGAGGGTTAGAGGGCGAGGAGTGGTGAGGGTTAGAGGGTGAGTGGTGAGTGTTAGAGTGTGAGTGGTGAGTGTGAGGAGTGGTGAGGGTTAGAGGGCGAGGAGTGGTGAGGGTTAGAGGGTGAGTGTTAGAGTGTGAGTGGTGAGTGTGAGGAGTGGTGAGGGTTAGAGGGTGAGGAGTGGTGAGGGTGACGAGTGGTGAGGGTGACGAGTGGTGAGGTTTAGAGGGTGAGTGGTGAGGGTGAGGGTTAGAGTGTGAGGAGTGGTGAGGGTTAGAGGGTGAGTGGTGAGTGTTAGAGTGTGAGTGGTGAGTGTGAGGAGTGGTGAGGGTTAGAGGGCGAGGAGTGGTGAGTGTTAGAGTGTGAGTGGTGAGTGTGAGGAGTGGTGAGGGTTAGAGGGCGAGGAGTGGTGAGTGTTAGAGTGTGAGTGGTGAGTGTGAGGAGTGGTGAGGGTTAGAGGGTGAGGAGTGGTGAGGGTGACGAGTGGTGAGGGTGACGAGTGGTGAGGTTTAGAGGGTGAGTGGTGAGGGTGAGGGTTAGAGTGTGAGGAGTGGTGAGGGTTAGAGGGTGAGTGGTGAGTGTTAGAGTGTGAGTGGTGATGGTTAGAGGGCGAGGAGTGGTGAGGGTTAGAGTGTGAGTGGTGAGTGTGAGGAGTGGTGAGGGTTAGAGGGCGAGGAGTGGTGAGGGTTAGAGGGTGAGTGTTAGAGTGTGAGTGGTGAGTGTGAGGAGTGGTGAGGGTTAGAGGGTGAGGAGTGGTGAGGGTGACGAGTGGTGAGGGTGACGAGTGGTGAGGTTTAGAGGGTGAGTGGTGAGGGTGAGGGCTAGAAGTTGAGGAGTGGTGAGGGTGAGAAGTGGTGAGTGTGAGGAGTGGGGAGGAGTGGTGAGGATTAGAGAGTGAGTGGTGAGAGCTACAAGGTGAGGATTGGTGAGGGTTAGAGTGGTGAGGTGTGGTGAGGAGTGGTGAGTATCTGGTGAGTATCTGGTGAGGAGTGGTGAGTGGTGAGGAGTGGTGAGTGGTGAGGGGGAGGAGTGGTGAGTATCTGGTGAGGAGTGGTGAGTGGTGAGGGGGAGGAGTGGTGAGTATCTGGTGAGGAGTGGTGAGCTGCTGGTGGTACCGCTCTGGTGAGGGTTAGAGTGTGAGTGGTGAGGAGTGGTGAGGAGTAGTGAGGGTGAGGAGTGGTGAGGGTGAGGAGTGGTGAGTATGTGGTGAGTATCTGGTGAGGAGTGGTGAGTAGTGGTGAGTATGTGGTGAAGAGTGGTGAGTAGTGGTGAGTATGTGGTGAGGAGTGAGGGTGAGTAGTGGTGAGTAGTGGTGAGGAGTGGTGAGTAGTGGTGAGTATGTGGTGAGGAGTGAGGGTGAGTAGTGGTGAGTATGTGGTGAGGAGTGGTGAGCTGCTGGTGGTACCGTTCTGCTCGCAGGAACCGGCGCTGGGTCCCCTCCACGAAGCGGCCACGACTGCTGCTGGAGGCGCGGCGAGGCGTTACCACAACAGAGGATTCCCCTCCAGATCCTAAAGTTTTCACGGGCTGCCGGTAATCTGTGTTTGTTTAAAGCTCCCTTTGGTTTTACACTCGAAGTTATGTATCTGTGCCTATAAAAATTACAAGTATTATTTTTTTTTTAAACGCTAAGAGCAATTTTTTTTAATCGTTAATTGATCGTTCGAGGGGCTGCCTGATTACAGTAAAACCTTGGATTGCGAGCATAATTCGTTCCGGAAACGTGTTTGTAATCCAAATCACTCGTATATCAAAGCACTCGTATATCAAAGCACTCGTACATCAGTTGTGATCACGTGACGCTCGGCAGACAAAGCGTATACACGCACTACTCGTATTGCAAGACCTCGCTCGTTTATCAAATTCATATTTATTTAAAAAAAATTGCTCGTCTTGCAAAACACTCGCAATCCAAGGTTTTACTGTACTTTGTTATGTAACACCGTGTGAGTTTTGTGTTAAAAGTCAACATTTTAACTTAAGATGTACAGACTATCTTTTTAACAGTTATGTTACGGTAAAATAGAGGTTAAGAGACGGGATTTGGCAGCACTTGTGCAACGGAAGAAGCAGTGCAGACAGCACGACATTAACCAGACAGAACGCAATTGATAATTAATTTATTACATGAACCATAAGCCCCCGGCTCTCGCATAAGGGGCCGTCCATAAATGACGTCACGCGATTTTTGACTATTCTTTACCCCCCCCCCCCCCATCGTCACACGGCGTCACAAACAGTCAGACCCCCCCTCCTCAAATATGACGTCACAAAGCTCTGCCCCTCCTCAAATATGACGTCACAAAGTTCTGCCCCCCCCCCCCCCCCCCGAAAATAAAACATGCTTCAAATCGCTTTAAACTATTGTCATTGTAGTGCGTATTTAATGTGGCGCTGCACTCTGATGTTGTAGGAGAAAACATTTAAAAGTCCATTTAATTAAGTAGAACGTGTTGTCTATATTTATTTAAAGTTGCGCATTTTCATGTGACGTCACATTTCTCAACCCCACCCCCCTCGTCACACATCGTCACAAATGTCTGACCCCCCCCCCCCCCCCCCTAGGTGCGTGACGTCAATTATGGACGGCCCCTAATTATGATTTGGGCTTCCGTTTATTCTGGACCCTGGAGGTCCCGCCATAAGGTTCATTTTATTCATATCGCCACGATTCACCGCGACAAGCCAAACGTGACCCGGTTAATATTCGTGAAGCGAATCAATCACAAACAGTGTCGAGCTAATGTAGAATGCAGCTTACCGGTTCAAAATCCGTGCCTCGTGGGGTTGTTCGGAGGGTCCAATGTCTGATCACCATTGCCTGATCTTAAATAATTATAATAATAAATAATAATTCTCAGAAATAATTATAAAAATAAATCATTATCATTACATACCTGTCAACCCATACGGTCTAAACCCGTATTCTTGTACAGGGAAATTTAGTTTTCAGGTCCATACGGCGCATAGCCGTTTCAATACGGGCAAAACAATGTTTTGCTGTCTATTTGTTTGTGTTTCTCTCTCGTGATGGGACTTTGTAGGCTGAACAATGAGATTGATAAGGGCCCGAGGTAACCAATAATGTCTTAATTGGCCTGTGATAAGGTAGGCACTGACCAGGGGTTGACAGGTGTGTTTTAGACATTGTAGTGTGTAGAGGAATCATGCTTCTTAGGAAAGAGCCGAGCTGAGTCTCAAGACTCCCTTTGGCAGGATGATCCTGCATTTGGGGATGTTTGGCCACCTCCTCTGGTGAAAAACGCTTAAAGGTCCGCACGGACGGGTTGTCGAACCCGCCATCTCATGTCCACAGTGCGACACCCATTCACGGGTGATGTTGATCGTTTATTGTTAAATTTGAATCACAGTTCCTATGATCACTGTTACATTGTTTTTATAGCTTTATTTTGGTGATTTCGAAAACGTTTTGGTGTAGCCATATTTGTTTGTTGTAGTACAGAGTTAGACTGATAACTTTAATCTAAATTTTATTCTTGGTTTTTTCGGTAAAGTCACGTAGAAGGGAAATATTTTATTATTTTATTTTATTATTTCCCTTCTACGTGACTTTACCGAAAGAACCAAGCATATGAATCCCTGCAGTCACGAAAGCTTTAAATCAAAATGTTATCAAAAATGTTTATGGTTGTTATTGTTTGACTTGCATCGCATTGGGATTTTTGCACACAGCATTGAAACACGGTGCTTTTTCTGGAAGACTTTGATGGTTTTTTCTTGGATTTTTCTGTTTCGCATAGACACTTTAAGATGTTTCTTGTTCATATTTTTGTTTGTTGCTGTTGCACCCGTTTCAAGAGCCGCATGGCTCACAGGACTATACCAAATAAATCAACTGAACTGAAGCAACCCTTGCCTTCAGAGCACTGGGGCGAAGGCGTTTTGCCACCACGAAGTCAATATACGAGCTGTGTGGGGTTAGTGATAGAGCTGTGTTGTGGGTTTGTGTTTGGCTACGTTATCAGTTGCGGCTTATCAGCAATGGTGTCATGGGTAAGTATTAAACTGTCAGGAGTCATGATGTTGTGAGTGAGTACAGTTGATGTAATGAGTAGTGATGCTGTTGGGTTCGTATCAGGCTGGTCGTGTGATCAGTAGTGGTGTGGGTTAGTACAGCACGAGACTTGCTGTTATATCGGTGGTAAAGCGGTGGGGGTAGGGATGTTTGTGGTGACAAAACAAGCGTCTTCACAGGACCGCCAGGGCACGAGAGACAGAGAAGCGTTTGACTCTCTCTCTCAAGTCGAACGCCAATCGCAAAGTATCTGTGTATGTATATTTAAGGATTTTAAGAGAAGTTTGAAATATATTTTTCGCCCGGGCAACGCCGGGTACTTCCCGCGAATATGTTATAAAGGGGCCCTAAAAGAAAAAAAACATATAAATATTAAAACACATACATGTTTATAACTTGCATCGTAAAGTAATTGTATTTTTTCATTTGCTATACAGCCAGATAATACGACAAATCGCTACTCTTAAACACCCAGTCGTTCATAAAAGTTGAAGGCAGTATAGTACTATAGTAATAGAGCAAGTGCAGAATCACTGAACCGGAATTGATAGCTTGAAAGCATTTAGCGCGGGTCCCTTGAAAGTGCGGTGCCCGTAGTATATGTAGCTACTTGTGCTACTAGGATAATCCGGCACTGCCTTTGCTGTGTCGTGCACAATAAAGCCGTTGAACTCGACCGAACACGCCAGCATTAAACCTAAGCTGCTCTTGCCGCCAGTGGGTGATGCAATGGGGAGTCTCGGAATATCCGTGCCCTTCCTAATGAACAACGATGCCCCCCCCCCCGCCACATTCAGAGTTAACTCATCAGTGTGGCAGCTGGAGGCGTTTAAGTCCAAGTTAAAGAGGTCATCACATCTCGCCATCGCTACCGCTCTTCTGCCAGATCCTGCCAGCAGTTGCAGAGTCCACATCTTATCTCCAAACTGTGCACTTACACTTCATCCCAGCTCGGTAGTTTTACAACAAGGGTGTGGATTTGAGTGCCACCTCCTCCCATCCACTTATTGGGCCATTTTACTGCGTCCTAGAATCAATATTGATCTCGTCGTTGGATATCAGCATCGAATCGATCAATATATACGTATTTAATCAACTGTAAACTTTTTAAAATTTATTTTCAAAGTGAAACCTGGGTCACGAAGCAATATAGAACGTGGTACAGAGAAACTCAGCATTATGTATGCGTGTACCTCCGATTAGTACGTTTGGCTACGTACGGTGCGAAAATAAGTTCGACTTACATACTGTACTTACAGCCCTTTGTCAATTAACTGCAGGATGAAGGCGTCCCTACGCCATACAGGTAATGGAGCTTAATGTTGGACAAAACATCTCCACGCTGGTCAATGCCGGTTGGTGCAGACGAGGAACACAGATGTGTAAAGCAGAGCCATACAGTACAAATCATGGGTTTTGCTGCTGTACTGCACTTTGCTGCCCACCATGCAGCCATGGGGTTGGGTGTTTTTTTACCAGCATCTGTCGGAACCGAAAAATGAGAACCCCATCTGACCCCTGCCTGTTATCGCACTTCACGCGGTATTAACTTCACTGATTGAATCGTCTTGTCTGGGACATACTCCTTGGGCGCCTCTGAGTCAAATGATTGTTTATAAGTCGTTAAACTGTAGTCACAATGGATTTTTTGAATTTTCATTTTTTTCTCTCCCACATCGTGGTTTGAGATAAATGTGTTTTTTTTTGTCTGTGCAGTAACAGCTCCACTTTAAGACTCCCACTTGGGGTCTCACAATACTATCGGTTATATCTCGGACACTCTGTGCCACTGATCTAGATTTTGTGCAGCGTGGCGAGTGAGGACAGGCAGCGACGAGCAGTGGGCCGGCACTGGGCTGGGCAACCAGAAACGCCTTCCCAGATACGGCCAAATCACCGTGAATTTGCCCAAACTTATTGGATCTTGGAAGCTTCGCTTGGGAATACCAGGTGTTGTAGGCTTGGGTTGCAAGTACATCAATGCATTATTGAATATGTATGGACTTTCGAATGTTACCCCCTCGTGTGCATGGTTGGTTTTCTCTGGGTCTTCATTTTTACAACCACAATTCCAAAGACTCATGAATGTAATTGGCCTATTATTCCAAAGCAGGACAATTAATGAAAGCCTATTCCTAAGCTCATATGTCCATCGAAATCCTTGGTGTAATGATATATGTATGAAAATTATATGCAAATGGTATTGCTAGGCTAATGTAAAAGGCAGAACAAGATGGAATAAATGAGACAATATACAGAAACAAATTAGATAAACTAGAACCGATCCTTGGTCAGAATCGTGGAATTTCATCTAATCGCGGTGGAGGGCTTGAACCAATGTTTGCCTATACATCACAAACAGTGCCATCGTGTTTGACCCAAGGTCAGCCTTGTCAAAGAGATTTAGTGTTTCAATGAATTCTTACCTGGGGAAATAACGAAGATGAGGATGTATCCTGTCTGGTGTGTGACCTGAAGCAGTCTGCAGTGGTGAAAATATCACAATGATGCTTCACACAAGTGGCCACTAGAGTGCAGCATCTGTTCGTCTGCCCACGTGGCTCCAGCTCGGCCTCGGCAAGGTAAGGTAAAAGGTAAAAACGAGCCTACCTCTACCCTATCTTTTACCTTACCACAATACAATCACTCGACCCTTACCTTTTACATTTAGCAAGGTAAGGTAAACGGTCAAAAGCAACGAGCCTACCTTTACCCTAGCTTTTACCCTTACCCCATACACATTACCCGATTACAGGGTAATTACTGGGGTACTACTACACATGAAACAGGTTTATCACAGTTAAATGCTAGGTAGAGCGCTTTACTCATACATAATACTCTCGATTATTCCAATTTTAAATGGAGGCCACGGACTGCGCCACGGAGCTTTTAGGTAAATTACCTTACCTTGCCGAGGCCAAGCTCCAGCCCAGGCATTGTTGTAAGTTCGGTTTGACCTACCCAGGCGGTCGCTGTACACAACTACACATCACGGAAGCCAGATCTCCATGTTGATAGTTTACCCTCCAATGATTACTGCGTCTGCAGATGTTTTCAAACCAACGCAAATATGCAGGAATCAGACAATTGCTTCACTCTGGAGAGTCTTATGTGTTGCAACTATACAACGTGGACTTATTTATTGGGTAAGGATAAGGTCAACGTTTTAAATTTATGAATCATTTCAATGCAGAGCAGTGTCGCAGGAATTAGAACCTCCAAATCGCTCTGATATTAACAACCCGAGCTGTGAAAGCGACCATCCCCAACTCGTGAAATACAATATGGTCAGTCGCCATTACTACAAGTTTTTCAATCCAATAGGATTGAAAATAATGTATTAATTGCAGTAGTATTGTCTCATAACGCATTTCAACGTACAACAAGAGACATTCGAGAATTCTAAAGGGAAATGCCTTCGGTCTTTTTATGGGACACTCTGGGTATTGTCCCTGCCCTGTTTGAACCGTTCTCGTTTATTCTGATTCAGGGGCCGTCCATAAATGATGTCACGCACCTGGGGGGGGGGGGGGGGGTCAGACATTTGTGACGATGTGTGACGAGGGGGGGGGGGGGTTGAGAAATGTGACGTCACATCAAAATGCGCGACTTTAAATAATATAGACAACACGTTATATTGTCACTGTAGTGCGTATTTAATGTGGCGATGCACTCTGATGTTGTAGGAGAAAACATTTATTTAAAAGTCTATTTAAAACATTTATTAAAAAGTATATTTAATCAATGTTTTATCCTACAACATCAGAGTGCAGCGCCACATTAAATACGCACTACAATGACAATAGTTTAAAGCGATTTGAAGTATGTTTTATTTTCTAAATGGAAATATGGTTTGGGGGGGGGGGAGGCAGAGCTTTGTGACGTCATATGAGGGAGGGGGGTCTGACTTTTTGTGACGCCGTCTGACGAGGGAGGGGGTCAAAAATCGTCCAAAATCGCGTGACGTCATTTATGGACGGCCCCTCAGGTCTCCTTTGAAAAAGAGGTACTGTATAGTACTGTTCCCTAACGGGCTTCTGTCTGGTCATGAAGTCAATATTTAGATTTTCACAAAAAGCAATTGCAATACCGTTGTACTGTACTTTGTTTCTTGTATAAGTTTGCTCGAGCTGTTTTCCCTGTTTAGTTTTCATTAAAATGGGAACTTTTGAATTGTTTCTCAGATAGGTATAATCAGGGCTTAAAAGTTACGACTTCATTTTGTCTAGGTCTTTAGCAGACTGGAGTAGGCGGCACGTAATTCGTAGCCATAATCAGAGCAAGTGGTATTGTGGATGTTGTGTGCCGGGCGCAGAAATTTTCCGGACCACAAACTCGGCCCAACCCGGATGAAATGAAGCCCTTGGATATGTGTTGACCCTTTAAACACGTTCCTTCGGAGTGGGCAGGTAGGAACTTGGTTGTATAGCGCATTCGTGCACGACAGACAAATAATCCCTCGTGGGCAGTGTGGAACCTGTTGTTCCTACCTGTAATATGCATTGTCATATAATACTCTGTAAAGTATGTTTTTATTGGGGGGGGGGGTTAATTTATATGCTTCGTGTTAGCATAGAAATGCATTCATTTGTTTTGTATTTTACAAGAAATACATTTGCTTTTTTGGACAAACTGAATCACCTTAACGCTGGGAATGTTGAAAGAAACACGAGGCAAAAAGATCCGCTGTTTTCTTTTCAAGGCTTCCATTTTATGAATGGAGCCACCCTCCCGCAGTTCCATTTTGTGAATGAAACATCGCCCGTCTCCTCATTGGCCCGAGTCGCGGCGGTGCCCCACCCACCACTAACCCCCCCCCCCTCTACCAACCCCAACCCACCGCTCCCATTGGTCGGCGCCCCCGAGCCAATGGGAGGGCTCTGGTGGGGCCGGGCCGTGCACGACAGACAAATAATCCCTGGTGGGCAGTGTGGAACTGTTGTTCCTACCTGTAAAAAGGTATAGAAAGTACTGTTCCCCAACGGGATTCTGTCTGGTCATTAAGTCAATATTTAGATTTTCACAAAAAGCTATTGCAATACCGTCGTACTGTACTTTGTTTCTTGTATAAGTTTGCTCGAGCTGTTTTCCCTGTTTAGTTTTCATTAAAATGGGAACTTTTGAATTGTTTCTCAGATAGGTATAATCAGGGCTTAAAAGTTACGACTTCATTTTGTCTAGGTCTTTAGCAGACTGGAGTAGGCGGCACGTAATTCGTAGCCATAATCAGAGCAAGAGGTATTGTTGGATGTTGTGTGTCGGGCGCAGAAATTTTCCGGACCACAAACTCGGGCAGACCCGGATGAAATGAAGCCCTTGGATATGTGTTGACCCTTTAAATAGTCTGGTAATCGTGGGAGAGTAGGCCAAAATACCCTCTTGGGGGGTCTTTAGAGCTCACTCCAGTGGAGGCCCTTCCACCAAGAGTGGCGTGAACACGATATTGCAGCGCTGCACCTTAACAGTTTTAAAATAAAGTTTGAACACGAAAGTCTGGTGCTGCTGGCAACAACACGTGCTGCTTGCAAGCAATTTCCCGGGGCGCATGCGTGCAGGCGTGCGGCATGTTAATCGGCACTGCTTCTGCAATGTCGCCTCTGCCACGCACCATGGTCGTATTGGAGGCGGGGCCACCGAATTCCTTCGCAGCACATTAGCCAATCGGAGCGAAGCGCTTGGAGGCGCCCGCCAATAGCAGGCGGACGTTCGCCGCCAGTTGACCAATGGGAGCGCGCGTTACGTGCGCGCCTTTGCGGGGGGGGGGAGCGAAGGGGCGAGGCCACGGGTTCCGAGGGCGGGGGCCTCTCCCCCCCCCCGCGGCCGCTCCCTCCAGCAGCCAGCTGGCCACGGTGACCATTCAGTGTCCCGGGCTCCAGTGGACAACCCCAGTGTCAAATCCCAGCTCCTAGCTCCAGTCTCCAGTGTCAAGCGCCAGTGGTCCAGCTCCTAGCCCCAGTGTCCAGCCTCCAGCTCCCTAGCTCATTAGAGTCTGTCGCTTACTCCAGCTCCATTCTCCAGGCTCCCAGCTCCCTCCAAGCCCAGCTGTACCGCTCCCTCTAGCTCCTTGAATTGCACCCCCTTCCTCCAGATACAGGATCCCAATATCTCCATCCCATCCCAATCGTTCTGCCCCCAGCTGGCTGGCTCACTCCACTCCAGCCGCTGCTCTCAGGGTGCCGCCCCACCCGCTTGCCCCCCTCCCCACCACCACCACCATCGCTGCCTCCTCCAAGGTCCCACTCACATCTCCTGCTTCCTCCCCCAGTCACTCGCTCGTGGCTCTCTTGGACATTCCCGCCTGTCCCATCGTTCTCCAATCGGGCTCCTTCACCCCGTGTCTCTCGTTACACCGCCTCCCCCTCCATTCAGCCCTCCTCACCCCCCAGACCCCCTCTTGCTCACGCCCGGGGTCCCCTCTCCTCCTCCTCCTGCTCCACCCCAACCGATCGCAACCAGCCCAGCGCCACCAGCTCGGTCCTTCGCGTCTGCCGTGCGCCGTCATCACCACCTCCAGCAGCAGCAGCATCATCGTCGTCCCGTGAGAGGAGGAGGAGGAGGGTGGTGGTGGTGGGTGGTGGTGGTGGGGGGATGGCAGAGCCGCTGTGTCAGCTGCTCGGGGAGCGGCTGCTGCGGCCCGTGAGCTGCGAGGACGGCGGTGCGGCAGGAGCTCAGCCCGGGCCCGAGGTGGCCGGGGCCGTGGCCGCCGCGGTGACCCCGGGAGTTGGTGACCTCCCCACGGCGACCCTGACCGGAGAGGGCCTCTCCGCCGTGGGGCTGTTCTTCTCTGCGCAGTGGTGCCCGCCATGCCGCGCGTTCACGCCGCTGCTCGCGGACTTCTACCGCAAGCTGCGGGAGCGCCTCGAGGTGGTGCTCGTCTCGTCCGACACGGACGCTCAGCAGTGGACCGAGCACAGGCAGCACATGCCCTGGCCCGCTCTGCCCTTCGATGACCGGCAGCGTAAGGTGAGAATGGTGCGGAACGGTGAGGGTTTGCTAGAATGAACGGTGAGGGTTTGGAAGTATGTTGGTGAGAGGAAGGTGGTGAGGGAGTGGTGGGAGAGGTGGTGAGGAGCTGTTATGGGATGGGATGAAAGAGGTGAGACTGAGAGTAAGGAGAGGGGGGAATGTGAGTGATAATAAATCAAATTAAAGGTGAGGTTAGCTGTGAGGAAGTTGGGGGTGGGTGGGGGATACAATAGAGAGGTGAGATGAATGGATGGAGTAAGGCGAGGGAGGTTTTGGTGGGTCTCGAGGTGGGAATCCATACACCCACAGGGTTGCAATGGAACACTGACCCAACAGTAGCATCCTCTGAGTAATTGACCCTTGACCAGGTTAGAAACTATTGAGACTGCATGGGGGACATGTGGACATCAAGTAAAAAAAATGCTTCAACATTATCGAGGATTATATTGGGCACAGTCGAGCGTACATTTGGCAGATATGCTGGGTTGGCCTGGAGTTGATCAATTTTCAGAAGGGTTTCACGTTGAAATGTTCGACCAATTCCTTTTTAATGGGAGTTTTGTATGAGCTAGGAACCAGAGTACCTGGAGAAAAATCATCATTGAGAGGATAACACTCAAAGCTCCTAACAGATTAGTTCATTAATCCATTTGCTGTACTGCCATCTGGCCACCATGCAGTGTGTTGCGTTTGGAATTTTAATTGAAAAATCTGCAGATCATAAATTTGTGAGATGCCAAACACACTGGCACACATTCTAATACAGTCCCCTCCTGCAAGTGTCTTGAGACCTTTAGGCTTTACTGGATAAACAATATAACTTTTTCAACCACCGTCAATATTACCACGGTCAAATCCACCATTACCAACTTGATTAACTTTACTATCCATCACCAACAGCACCATTCATATTATTACCATCATCACTCTTAGCTTTGGCACGATCGAATCCACAATCACGTTACTGATGCTACCTTCATATATTCCACTCTGATCATATCATCTTTAATGGTACCATCAGCTCCACTGTCTATACACTACACCGTCACTCATCCCACCCTCACCTCCCCCATTGAACACTCCATCGTGAATAACTACACCATCTTTAGATCTCCATCACTACCTTCACGTTCACAATGCACCACCATTGCTACCTTAACCGTCACTCTTGCCAATTCTACCATCACCACCACCATCACCTTCATCACTAGTATCAGCATTACAATCAACTTCACCACCAGCATCTTTATGATCACCCTCACATGTCTCCTTTAGCCTGTGCTTCCCCTCTATGCCTCGCTTAATCCGGTGATTGACACCTGATGTCAGCCACAATCAATTATCTGCTCGCCAATTCATCCCTGGTGGTTGTCAGTCAATCAATTCCCGCTGTGAGATCCCCGGTTTATTTCCACATGGAGCTCTATTGTGACAGGCGAGACTGCACCGTAGCTGCCTTATCGCCTCGTCTGCCATCCTTGTCATCCACACTCCGCATTGATTTGACCACCAAGGCTCTGCGTCTCCCGCCACATCCTGGAAACTTCTTATCGCCCAGTCCCAGACTCATCTTAAGAGACAGACTCATCACAGAGCAAGTAACAGACACAAAGACCCATCACAGACCCATTTCAAGAGTTAGACCCACGCAGAGACCCATCACACAGCCATCACAGACAGATCACCCATGACAGACCAAATAGCGGACACACTCATTACAAACACAGGTCAACGATAGAGACATAAACCCATCATCCTACCATCAAATAGACAGACTCATTGCATTGGAGACCTACCACATAGACAATCCCATCACAGACCAAATCACAGACACAGACTCATTATGTAGACATAAACTCATCATGGGTTCATTACAGACACACACCGTTTAGAGACACATATCCCTTCCAGATCTGCCATAAAGACACAGACCCATCAAAAACACAAGAGGCCCATCACAATTACTCACATTCACCACAAACACATACCCATCATAAGCCCATCATGTACAAATATCACACGTACATATCCATCACAGATTTCTCAGAGTTGTGCACCCATCATCACCGTTCACCGGCTCATGGCATCGCACAGTACAGTGCGCCTTTTATCGCAATGATGTCCATGACTGCATCCTGTCCTATCGTTTCTCTGTAAATGTCACTTTAAAATCCTTTCTTGGGCCTAACGGTCGCTCAGCCTGGAAAAAATCAACTGGACAAATATTCCTGTTTTTTTTAGCCACCGCACAGGAAAATACATTTGCTTGCTACAAGTCACTTGCAGTGTTCTTGGCTGCTCACTGTCTCCCGTAGAAGGACCATTGCCTGAAACGTTCGCCTATTTTTTGCCTTTGTTTGAAGGCATTTGTTAGTGAAGAACACCTGGTGTTTGAGGGGCATATTTGGTCTGTACACCACTGCCTCCTCAGGTTATATTAGTATTACAAACATTTGTGTTTCGTGTCGAAGTGTTTCCTGCAAGCAGTGAATTAATTGCACCTACGCAAAGATTTACACTCGTAACAGGTACACTAAAGGCCCCGTGGAATGCACTCATTGCGCACTATGTTGCCTTTGCTGCGTTGCCTTGATCACAACGCATGTGCTGCGGCGTAATGACAGGTTATTCTCAAGCTTTATTGTTTGCTATGGGTCGGGTTTATTGCTTTATATTTGCACTCGGTGTGCTGTAAAATGTAAGCGGGCCAACATCCACGTCCATACCAATACATTTGATCAATCTGGCTAAAAGGACCCATGGTTGATTTAATTGATACCTCTCAGAGAGTGGAATTTTCATGCAGCAGCCATCGTCGTTGCCGTACTCATGATCATCAGTAATCCCAGGCGTCTGTAAAGCTGCCCATACTGGAAAATGCTTCTGCCTCTAATTGGTATTTTTTCTGGGGCTTACAAGGCCATGATACATACATTCGGGCAATGTTATGGCAAGCAGCACCAGCAACATTCATTTACTATGACCAGTTATGGCCACTTGTATGGAAATGGCATAGAGTGATGGAATTTGCTTCAGAAAACAATTGTACGGCAACCAATTCGAAAGAGCATTGCTGATAACGTTCGTTGGTGATGATCGACCTTAACTTCTGTATTAATTTGTGCACTACATCCATGGATAGGAAAGATGGCACGGACAGCTTTTTGGGATTAGGACTTCCATTTGGAGTATTTTATAGAGTATCAGGATTTAATATACAGTAAACGCAACCTGAAAACAGCTGTGCTTTCAATGTGAGGTCTACCAGGGGCTGCTGGTTACACAGCCGTGATAATTAACAGTAATAACCATGCCACTTATCCGCGAAAGCCTTATCGAAGAGTCTAAAGGCTTTTTAGGAGAGTCCTGGATTTGCATGTGTGGCCCGTTTCTTTTATTAACGAGTGACACCAAATTCTCCTTTTCAAATAACCAAAGTCTGAAATGTGGTAATTCATACCAAAAGGTGCTTGTCATCACTTATTTGATCCAGAGCGACCTAATTATATACCTACGTAGGATAAATGCTGTAAACCACAAACTGGTCGTGTGTGCATTCAGGTGCATGTGTGTAGCAATGTTGAAAAGTGATCCCTTTCAACAACTTTTCACAAGTGTTCTCGAGTGTGCCCCCAGTATGGATAAAGAAACCCGTGGTGTATTGCGGGGATATCAGAGTTAGTTCTGCAACATCATCTTTCGGGACCGTTCACTGACAGAGTGGTGCAACTCACACGAGTGAGAGTTTCAAACCAAAATGTCATCTTCTGCAATGATGTCAAACTTTATTTCAATGTTTTCCCACAAAATATTAACTTTGAAATGTACTCACAGCCAAGCGGTGGACACGTGTAGGCATGCACGTGGATATTGATCACGATTTGCAGCAACAGCAGTTGCCTACAAGTGGGGTGACGTGGAAACTGCGCGTAGTTGAAGCCATTGCGCAATTAGATGCGCATTAACATGTGCTCCCCAGCCGCAGCAGATTCTGCGGAAAAATCAATGGATCAATGTCAGGGTGGACGTGGGGCCAACGTGGATAACTACAGTGGGAATGGAGGCGGAATGCGTAGCATAAACACTCGACTGACCGCGTGAGAAGACAGCCTGTGAAGAAAGAGCGTCCTGTCCTCGGTCAACCAAAAAACCGTACCTGTTACGTAAGAAAATCTAAATAGATTGTCGTGAAACAGTTTTAACCAAAGCGTTAAGAATATCTACTGCCTTCTCCTGAGTTATCATTGGTCCTATATTTGAGACATCGTTATAACCTGTGTTTACAAGAGTGGTTTATTTAATTCGGTCCAACTGAGCCAATTTATTTCTCTTCGTGTGAAAGTTTAAGTGAACCATCTCACCAGAGGGAACGTTTGAACCCTCCCTCAGAGCAATTAAATAAAATGTATTTACACTGGCTTAAAACTACTTTCATGATACACACATCACTGTCATATTTTTTGCATTTGCAGACTTTAAAACACGCTAAATAATTTTAGGGGAATTTTTTTCAATCGGATGTGAATTTGAAATTGTTGCGGTTTGGGGTGGCAGGAATTTGCAGAATCCTCAACAAGTGTTCGCCATCTTACAGTGTTTCACGAGATAGATTATTATCTCCACAGTGCGTGGTTGCCATGCTCTGTTGGCCGTTTACATTCTCAGCGACCTCGTTAATGGGCCTCCTTTGACCGTCTCATTCAGAGGCTGCGAACCCAGAGCTCGCAACTGGCCAAGCGTCCCGTGCATGCGCTTGCCATCCTCTGCTGGAAACGCCTGCTCCAGGGCTGTCAAAACAATGTGCTTTTTTGCGGGTCGCTCGCTTGACTTCCTCCTCGGCGTAATGCTGAGGCTTAGACGTGGCACGTGTGAGGAGGTCGGACAGCTTAGGGGGCTAATACCGTGTCAGAGACGCCGAGCCGGCACCACTGAGAGCCCGGGTTCGAATCCAGGCTACAACCACGTGTGGTTGAACTGGGTTCTCAAGTGTCGTGAGT